GGCCTGCATGACACGATTTTCTGATCTTTGTTCTCATCTTGTTTCCTCCTCACAAACACACACCTGGACTTGTGTTTTGTTTCATTCACATGTTTAACACACAAACGCTGCACATTTAGCACGAGTTCTTCTCTCAAACAAAACACACGAGATAAAAGGAGCTGTTAACTTGAAAATACAACTTCATGACATCACAAGGTGGAGGAGAGAGTTTTGAGCTTTGGAGATTTAGACAGACAAATAATAAAGAGTTACTCAAACATGTGTGAATGAAAAAACACAACTCAGGTTTGTTCTGATAAGGGAACAACATTACAACATGTTTTAAAGATCACACAATCCATTTTGTGTAATATAAGACCTTTAAAGTGACTTTATTGTGTGGAACCAAAATGGCCCTAAAACGATTCATGTCGTTGAATCATTTTAGGGCAAATTTTCACCAGTGTTGTTCTGTCTGGTGGACATGAGCACTGCAGCATGATCAGCAGTTAGCACATTTTTGAAGTGCCAGAACTTCCCTGGAGTTTAGATCTGTACAAACAGGCTCTGAAATGTGATTCTTTCATTTTCGTTTCAGTTCAGGTTTCAGTGTTTTTGTCGATTTTTCAGGACGTGTTTCAGATGCAGAGGGACAGAACAAACCCAGCACACGAGGACGCAGCACACACTTTATTTACACCAAATACTTTAAGGCTCAATGCTAACAGTGTGAGACTACTCCAGACGTCTCAGACGACAGGACGGGGACATGGGCGAGAGAGAGGGGACAGAGTCTGAAACAGAGAGCAGAAGGACAGGATACAGGGCAGGGGACAGAAGGACAGAGACAGGGACAGAGGAGAGAGACAGGAGAGAGGTGTGGACAGAGGACATTTGGAGTGTGTAGTGTGTGTAGATGTGTACACAGTACACAGACTGAGGTCCAGCCTCAGCAGCAGCACAAGGTCAGAGCATTTGTGTAGGTCACAAGCACAGGGACATGTCCATGTCTACTATTCAGAGAAGCACAGTTCACATGTCCACACCGGTGTCCTCAGTGGACAGAAGGTCAGCAGGTCCAGTGCTGTGCACTAGAGCACATGTCCATTATTCAAAGAAGGACAGAGTGCACATGTCCTTACAGTTCCCACAGGTGTCCTCAGAGGACAATAGTGTATTAAGTCCCAGGAACTGGGTCCAGAGTGTGGTCCCTGGGTCACTTCCTCTTGGTGCTGCCTCCGCGCTGGCTCCTCCTCCTCTTGAGGATCATGTGGTAGAGTTGCTCAAGGCCTTCGTGCAGACCGTCTCCGATGATGGCGCAGGCGGGCTGAACGTGGTAGGAGGTGTGTGGGTGAAGCTCGTGGAGGGCCAGCTGTCTCTCCATGTCTCTGACCGTCAGGCTGCGGGGCAGGTCCTGCTTGTTGGCGATGACCAGGAGAGGAGCTCCCTGGTTCTCGCTCAGCTTGGTAACCTTATGGAGCTCAGCGCGCGCCTCCTCCAGCCGCTCCACGTCCACAGAGTCCACCACATATATGATCCCGTCTGCTCCTCGGCTGTAGGACTTCCACAGGGGCCTGAGCTTCTCCTGACCGCCCACGTCCCACAGGTGGACGCTCAGACCTTTGGCGGAGCTCAGGCGGATCTTCTCGCTGTTGAAGCCGATGGTGGGCACCGTGTTCACAAACTCATTGAGCTTGAGCCTGTAGAGCACTGTGGTCTTCCCCGCAGAGTCCAGCCCCAGCAGCACAATGTGCAGGGACTGAAAGGATGAGAGGCTGCTGCCCATCTCCTCAAGCTCAGCACACTGCAGATCCAAGTCCTGAAGCTCCTCACAGTGAAGAACACCGAAGAACAATGACAACTTCTGTCGTCCTCAGATTGAAGAGCACAGACTTGTTCCTCTGGCTGAAGTGAGTTCCCTGAGAAGTGCTCACAACAACAGCTTCCAACTCCGCTCCAAACCTAAAGTCCAAAACTCGTCCGTCACACTCGGGGCTGAAGTCCTGTGTCAGCGGCTCTTCTGTGCTCCTACTGGCCACACGCACAGCCGCGGCTCGGAGCGCGTTTACGGGACGGGCCCTGGAGGAATGCGAGCACTGCGCTTCATTAGTATTCCCCTCACAGGCGCGCTCAGGACACACGGGCACGGCTCCCCCCGCGCGGTTAAACACTACCACATGAACGCAGCCGCTCCGTGCCGCGCTCCGAGCGCATCCTCCGCAGTGCTGAGGCCGGGGAGCGGGGGAGCGTGAGGCTGAAGCCAGGCAGTGCGCGGCAGTGTTCGGACGCTCGGCCTGGCTGCTGGTGTCCTCCGGTATGCACGGAGAACAGTGCACGGACACGGAGCGAGGGCAAAACAAAAGGAAACCCGCCTCTCCGAACTACCCCGCCAATCACAGGGCAGGAGACAGCGGCGCGGGCCAATCAGGGGCAGGGAAGACGCGTACAATCGGCGTAAACCCCGCCCCTACTGTGTGTAGAACCAATAAAAAAGCAGGAGACAGATTCAGCAGCTCTGTCCATTTGCCCCTTAAGGTGAGTGTTGTGTGACAGCGCCGCCTGCTGCTCAGGGAGGTCATGGTTTATCTGGGACATTACCGTATGAATAAACCTGTTTGTGAGGTTCAGTTAAACTACGAGTTAAAAGTGTATAAAATGTATAAAATTATACTCCACCTGTTACTGCCCCAAGGAAGTAACTGTACATCACGTTGGGATTACTTTATATCTAATATTGTATTACATGGAAAAGATGCACTAATGACATTATCACTGATCTCTCCTCTCCTCCTATCTCTCCTCTGCTCTTGTCTCCTCTGTTCCTGTTTCCTCTGCTCCTGTCTCCTCTGCTCTTGTCTCCTCTGTTCCTGTCTCCTCTGCTCCTGTCTCCTCTGCTCCTCTATAAATAGATTATTTTACATTAGTATGACACAATATGGGCTTTAGGTAAAGCAGGAATATTCCAAAGTGCAGTGAGTATTTCAGAGGAAGCTGCCACTGCTGTGTGCTTTGTCCAGCAGGGGGCAGCACATGCGCATGCTCAGAGCTGCAGCCTGATTTTTACAACCCACACGCTGCACGTTAAAGACTGGTTTATAGTTCTGCTTCAACTCTAAGCGCCGTCCAGCTCCCTGACGCACCTGACAGCCAGTCAGAAAGCTCCCTGACGCACCTGACAGCCAGTCAGAAAGCTTGTGGTGTTTTCTGTGCTGTGTGCGTGTTGTGTACGTGCACCTTTGTACAGCATTGACCTCGTTAGCCTCGTTTCCATAGCGCTGGTATGGGCTGTTTCCACTGCATAAAGCGCTTATCCCGCCTCCCTTTAGGGGTCCAAATCAAACCTCTGGAGGTGCTACCTCTCATAGCAGTTTGAAACAGTTGGGACCACAGGGGCCTTGCTAGTCACGCCTCCATGCAGTCACTGGATGATCAGCAGCACGTCAAAAGCGACGCACGCGTGACAACACGTAAATAGTGTGAACCATGTAACTGTTATTTAACTACGACACATTTAACAGTAACACAGAAGAGTTGAAGAAACAGAGTGCAGCGTGAAACTTATATCCACCCAAAAACACCTGGAGTCTTCAATGTTTAGTGTCTCTAAGCCAAATGTGTCAGAACAACTCCACACCTGTCCGAGCACAGCTGAAGCCAAACTGATCAGAGAGTCAAGTTATTTATCAAACACCACTTCCTGCATTTTCCAAAAAAAATACAATTAAAATACTTCTCTGTACTTAATGGATGCAAACCTCATTTCATCACAGGTTCTACCCACCAAACCCAGTCACAATGAGAGAACATGAAAAGCAGCCATGTGCACTTTTCACAGGAGGCATGACACTTCTGTGGCTATTCTCTGCTAACACATAATATATAGATCACCATGTGACCTTTTAATGTTTTGGTTTGTCAAGTTGCTGTGTACAGTTTTGAATCGTGCTTTTCTTCGTATATTGATGGAGAATAGTGATGTGGGAGCATGGACGATTTAGGCTTGTGGGTGGAGCCTTGTACAGACTCTTACAGCTAACTATAAGAACAGTTTGAATAGGGCCTTGGAGAAAATGCTGTAATATTCAAATATGCATGGATGATCTCTGTGTAAGGTGAGGTACACTTTAGGGAGGGAGAAATGTCCTCTGCATTTGACCCATCCTTCAGTGCTCCTGGGGAATCTTCTCAGGAGCAGTGGGTTCTACAGTGGCTCGCCCAGAGACCCATCTCCCAGTCTTGAGCTAGTCTTTGTCAGGACTGCATTAGTTGGAGGATCTGTTCTATAGGGCATGTTTTGGGTTGATGGAGGAAACTGGAGTGCCCAGACACTGGGAGAACATGCAAGCTTCACACAGAAAGGCCCCGGAACCTTCTTGCTATAAAATGTGAGAGCCACTCAGCAACTGTGCATCTTTAAACTAAAATAGAAACTAGATAGTTGTTTGACCGAGCACTGACACTCACACAATGACACTGTGTAAAAAAGATGCTCTGAAGAACATTCTGGTCTCAGAAGTGCTGCTGACGATGGAGATGTTTGATGTTTTATCAAAATGGAGTGACTCTTCAGAGTCACATTAGTTTCAGTCAATGACACTTCACTCACAAATCATCTGCTACATTCATTTTATTTCCCAAACTACAAAACCAGAGCGTCTGAATATTCTGTATGTCCATAGAAAAGATCGGGAGTCTGCAGTGGTCAGGTCAGAGAGTGTCTGCTGCTCAGAGGAGAGGCCCTGAAGGGGCCCCTATTTGGCATTAACACACAGTCATACATGTTTATTTCCTGAGAGAGCAGAGATACAAGGAGGGACATGAGGGACATGAGGAGGGTCCCAGGGATAAAAAGAGAGGAGGGTCTCAGGGAGTGTGGAGTGGAGAGCAGAAGCAGAGTGCACCAGCTGGTCAGAAGACTCTGGTCTTTGTCCAACTTAAATGTCCTGGATGTGATTTTCTTTCATGTATTTGAGCAAAGTGTCTTGCCCCAGTACAGATATATTGTATGAGCAGCTCTTGTGGTCAATATAAGTCCACTGTGTACTGTCTGCATCTAATTATTAAGTCTTTAACTGTCTCCTAATCAAGAAGTGTGTGTTAGCATGCTAGTTGTTGTTAGCTTTAGCATTACAGCAAAACAGCACTCTGGTTTCTATGTATTGTGAAAAAGCAATTATAAACTCATCGTGGTGAATTATTAGGATGATCTGAAGTCTAAAGTAAGTGAGGACTAACTTTGGACCACTGCAAACTGTTTCCAGTGAAATAGTTCTGTTTTTCATGCTTTTTAAGACAGTAAAAATCAGGTACAGAGATGGGCTTAATCTGAACTGGACAGTACTATCTCCAGTCACTCTGTCGGTGTGAGAGAGAACTTCAACTACTACCAGCTGGTACACTCAACTCCAGGCTCCCAGGGGAAAAAGAAAAGCAGGGTTTAGGGCACTGCTCCACTCTGCCATCTGAAGCCCTGAGCCTTGGTACAGGGGGCGGAGCTTCAGATGGTACAGTGCACCTGGGGGGCATGGCTTGAGGGGGCAGAGTGGGACAGAGTTCCAAATGGAACAGTGACACAGAGGGGCAGGGCTTCAGATGGCACTGTGGTTCTCGGAGCTGGGGTTCATCTTTCAGTCTTCCTGGGGGTGGAGCTTCAGATGAAACAGCGTTTCGGGGGACTGAGCTTCGTGCTGGGGGGCGGGGCCTCTAACAGCACAATGTTCCAGGGGGCGGGGCACAGTGTTCCAGGGGGTGGAGCTTTAGGTGGCAAAAAGATCCTGGGGGCGGGGTCTCAGATGGCACAGTCATCCTGGGGGCGGGGTCTAAGATGGCACAATCATCCTGGGGGCGGAGTCTCAGATGGCACAGTCATCCTGGGGGCGGGGTCTCAGATGGCACAGTCGTCTGGGGGGGCGGGGCTGAAGGCATGGCTCCGCAGTTGTTCCAGGCAGTAGACCAGGATCATAGTCCCCGTCAGGTGCCTCCAGCGTTTGGTGATGGGGCTCTTCATGCGGTCCAGCCCCAGGTGCAGCTCCTGCAGCACATCCCGGTAACTGTCCCCGATCTGCGCGGCCCACGTCACCAGGAAGTCATAGGCAGGCTTCCACATGGCCTGGACACATGAGAAGACACAAGAGTGGACATGTGACAAGAGACACAAATGGACACCTGTCTCTGTCCTACCTCACTGTCCAACACCCCGCTCCTGTCTGTCTCCTGCCTGTCCTACTCACAGCTTGTGAAGAAGTGGACTGAGGGAGTGTGATGTTACCCGCAGTGTTCGGCTCCAGTCAAATGAAGCCCACTGAGGTCTGCGGTTATAGGAGCAATTTGAAGCCGGGTTTCATGTTTTGAATTCTGACTGCCAGTATCATAGCAACCAAAGAGCCAATCAGGAGTGAGGCTGTTGAAGGTAACGTCCCTTCACACTCGAACCACTGGTTTAACAGTGGGACGAGCGTGAAGGGACGTTACGAGGCGCTTTGCAATGCTGTCAATCAAATTCTTTGCTAACACTAGCAACCTTGGGGAAAGAAGGCACCTGATTGGTCTGTTATTAATGTTCATATTTTGATTTAGGGACAAAATAATGACATAACAACAGGATCATGTAGAATGGGTTCATATGAACATTTTAAGATCAGAATGAAGAGCCTGACAGTAACAGGGCCATGCTTTTTCAGTACAATGTGAATCGGAGCCAGAGTGGACAGAGCTGGAAGCAAGCCTATGCTCACTTCCTGTTTGGAACAAGACGGCAGCAGGATAGTTATGTCTGTATATATACAGTCTATGGTCCTACCTCACTGTCCACCACCCCGCTCCTGTCTCGATGGGGTGCCTCGTAGGCGTCCATCTGTTGCCGGGACACTTTGGCTAGTTTGTCGGCGAGCTCCCTCCAGCGGCCGGCCACCTCCACCGCAGTGGTCAGGAGCACAAAGTCCATGATGAGGCGTGCCACCAGCCCCTGGCAGTCCAACTTCAGCAGGGCCTGGGGACCAGAGGGACAGGGTCAGAGGGACAGGGTCAGACAGGAGCAGAGTGTGGACAATCTTAGGGGGACAGAAGTTGTGTGACAGAAGTATTTTAGATAGAACAGATTTTCTATCTTTTTTTTTAATACATTTTTTAAAAAAAAGTTAAATTAAATTAAAAACAAAATTAAATTAGAACTTTGAAATCATCATCAGAATATTCTGACTGCTCTTAACCACATATAGAATATTATGGAGTGCACCTTATAATATGTCCCTTAAAGCTCGGGCACCTGACTTTTCTTTGTACATGAGTAAACTGCACATTGCAAAAGCAGCACAGTGAACCCAGACACCTGAACGATGCATGTGGTGATTGACGATGTGCCAGAGGCTTTGTGAGACAGGGACAATTACACAGATGTGGGTCTGTTTACATAGAAAATGTAATAATAATCATTTTTATCAGTTTTATACAGTGCCTTTCTGGACACTCAAAGACGTTTACAGAGCATTATTCATTCAACACTCAGTCGTGGTAAAATACTATTGCAGCCACAGCTGCCCTGGGGCAGACTGACAGAAGCGAGGCTGTCAATCTGCGCCATCAACCGCTCCGACAACCACATCACTCATGCACACACTCCATTAGGCAATGTGGGTGAAGTGCCTTGCCTAAGGACACAATGACAGTTTTTACATGGCAAATGTGGTCATAAAACAGTCTACTGACTCCTAAATCCTCTCTGCGTTTCGACGTGTGAAAAGGCTTTAGTACACTCATTTGCTCAACAAACAGCACTGTGCTCCTCCTGATGCACCGCACTGTACTGCACACATAAAGTTACCATTTGTCCAGTGTTTACGAGCTCCTCTGTCGTCTGGAGAGAACTGAGCACAGACTGACCAGCAGAGTCTGATATGAAAACACTGAGGATTTGTGAAAGCTCATGGCCATGTAAACAGTGCTTTAAATAGCCACTTCGTTCTACTGCAGTGTGAATATCAGGTGTCCCAGCAAGATAATGTTGTGTGTTTCTAACTTTTCCCTCATGTGAAGCTCAGAACTTACAGAATTCCCTCCCTGAGCTGCAGAAGCTGCACTAGCATTGACTCATGATGCTGCAGATGCTAGGGTTTAAGGAGTGACCATTCAGATCAGAGAGAGACATGTTAGGACTCTCTCAGCATTAAAACTGGCAGCCCAAGAGTAGCCTCATTTTGATTGGCACGGTTCCTTGGGGCCTTGGAATGGGTCTGTGGAGCAGCTCCCTCCAGCCCAGGCTCTGGGTCCAGGAGCAGGGCTCTGCTCTGTGACACTGACGTCACCAAAATATTACACGTTTTCTTAAAGAACATATAGTTCTTGTGTGTGCTCTATAATTCAAATCTATAACAACTGTAGATAATTATGTTATACAATTTATGTTAAATATATTTCAAATCACAATATTCATCTAAAATAAAAGAAACAAGTACTCTGACTTCAGTGTTCCTCCCACCCGGACCTCGTCGCTTCCCAGGGCTGTGGGATCACTGTCCACTGTGTAGGGCAGAGACAAGCCGCATACATAGAAAAGTAATGTTGCGCCAAATTGAATTAGGAACTACTTTTCATTACCAGATTTTCAGTAGTACAATCTAAGACTATTTTTACCCCCAAAAACTAGTTACATTACTGTAACACCCAACACTGTCCTTATCTGGCAAGCAGGAAGTGCACACCTTTCAGCTGATCACGCACATGCGCATACCCCCCCACGCACACACAACACACATGCACACACACAACACATGCACACACAACACACACACACAAAACAGATACAATTGCGCCCTCTGCTGACCCCTATTTCAGCTGATTTACACAGAGATGAATGTGTGTGACCTCTGCTGACCCCCTCTCCTCATTTACACTGAGAGAAACACCAGTGCCCCTTTCACACACACAAAAACACACACACAGACACGCACGCACACATACAGCACACACACACATACAGCCCACACAGACACACACACATACAGCCCACACACACATACAGCACACACAGACACACACACATACAGCCCACACACACATACAGCACACACAGACACACACACATACAGCACACACACACATACAGCCCACACAGACACACACACATACAGCACACACGCACATACAGCCCACACAGACACACACACATACAGCACACACACACATACAGCACACACAGACACACACACATACAGCACACACAGACACACACACATACAGCACACACACACATACAGCACACACAGACACACACACATACAGCACACACGCACATACAGCACACACAGACACACACATACAGCACACACACACATACAGCCCACACAGACACACACACACATACAGCACACACGCACATACAGCCCACACAGACACACACACATACAGCACACACACACATACAGCACACACAGACACACACACAGACACACACACATACAGCACACACAGACACACACACATACAGCACACACACACATACAGCACACACACACAGACACACACACATACAGCACACACACACACACATACAGCACACACACACACACACACATACAGCACACACAGACACACACACAGCATACAGCACACACACACATACAGCCCACACAGACACACACACATACAGCACACACACACATACAGCCCACACAGACACACACACATACAGCACACACACACATACAGCCCACACAGGCACACACACATACAGCACACACACACATACAGCACACACACACACATACAGCACACACAGACACACACACATACAGCACACACACACATACAGCCCACACAGACACACACACATACAGCACACACACGCACATACAGCACACACAGCACACACAGACACACACACATACAGCACACACACACATACAGCACACACACACATACAGCACACACAGACACACACACACACACACACACATACAGCACACACAGACACACACACATACAGCACACACACACATACAGCCCACACAGACACACACACATACAGCACACACACACATACAGCACACACAGACACACACACACACACATACAGCACACACAGACACACACACACACATACAGCACACACACACATACAGCCCACACAGACACACACACATACAGCACACACACACATACAGCCCACACAGGCACACATATGAGATCTGCTCATTTCCATGGACCTAAATGAGGAGTGCACACAGGGCAGGGCCACAAGGCAACAAAAGGAATCACACTTTGTTTTCCTCTTATTAACTGATCTCGATTTTCACTGATATTTCTTCTTTCTTTTCAACAAAATTAAACTATCAAACTGTCTATTTCCTACATTAATAAGACAGTGAAACCTGAAGTTTACTCTGACTGTTCCAAACCCAAAACCCATCCACTACAATCTTATCCTGTGCCGACCCCTCTGCTGGCCCCTGTCTGACCTCTGCTGACCCCTGTATCCTTGAGACAAATGCACATCTTTCAAAGGCTCAGAAACACCCGTCTCTCATCTCTGCTGACCCCTCTCTCACCTCTCTTGACCCATCTCTTACCTCTGGTGATCCCTCTGCAACCTCTGCTAACCCCACTCTTACCCGTCTTTGACCTCTGCTGACCTGTTTTTGACCTCTGCTGACCTGTCTCTGACCTCCGCTGACTATAGCCTGTCCACATACTGAATGAGAAAAACTGGTGTATGCCCCACAGACTGTATAAAATGTCAAATGAAGCTCGTGATGCTGGAGGCTACAGAAGTGAAATTGGAGTCAAGCTCTATATTATGAAGAGGATAAAGAAAAAAGCAAAACCCCAGGATCATGTAGAGCAGGTTAATAAGAATATTTTAAGACCAAAATGAAGAGGCTCACAGCAGCAGTTACAGAGAGAGGGGAGACAATATTCCAGTGTAAGTCAATGGGAGCCAGGGTCAGAAGGAGCCCCCATGCTCACTTCCTGTTTGGAACGCAGCGGCTACCGGGTTTTCTATGTCTATTGTATTTATTTATTTTTTTTACAGTTTATGATGTGTCCTCTATTTACGGGCTAAGGTCACATAAGTTTAATTGTAGAATCTAAAACTGTTCATTTAAAGCAAAAAAAAAAAAAAAAAACTAACTAAACTGAATGTCTGACCCTTAACTCCTGCTCCTGTGTCCCTCGCCCCCCGTCAGTGGCCCTCACAGTGCCCCCCTCCTCGGCCGGCCCTCACTGCCCACTCGAATGCCTGACATTCCTCCTCATTCTCAGGAGGGAGATAAGCCCCACGCCCAGACGCTGGCGGAAGGAAGCCGGCCAACACTCCGGAAAGCGCACGACATACACACAGGAGGAAGAGGAATGCTCCTGTCTACTCCTGTCGGCTTCTCTGTCTCTGCTCCTGTCTGCTCCTGTCTGCTCCTGTCTGAAGTCAGTGGGCGAGCTCAGAGTGCAGACACAGCATTAGTCAGCAGGCTCCTGTCCAGCACTTACACATAATCACACATGTGCTTTACAAACATTCTCACAGGGCACGAGGATAACAACTTTAGTTTATTAGGCTTATCAACAGTATCAAAAATCCCATACTAATACACGCATCAAGAATATCGGACATCCGGTCATTGTGCAATTCATACTGGGAAGGATTTTCCAAAAAAGTGAGCATCAAATCACCATGTTTGTTTTCCCAGTGGGATGTGTCTACTGACAACGCCGATTTTTTCAAGTCTTTTGAACCATATCACTTTTGTTTCTGGTTCTGATATTGTCATATTTTAGTTTTGGGATTCGGACATTGTTAATTGTGTGGTTGTTGGATCCTAACAGCGGAAAACGACTCGAGAAATTTGTTTGCGAACTCCATAAATGCAAAAGTGAATCACATATGTGTGACTCAAACCTCCATTCAAACTGTTTCTCTTCCCAACGGAATTGAAAAATAGTGAAAGGTGAAGGTGATGGGCAGGATTGATCCACAGGAAGAACCAAAGAGGAAACATTTGACTGCCTAAGAAATCATCCTGAGTTTACAGAGAACATATTTTATGTGGATCAAAGCAGGATTCCATTTGTTAAGTGAGAGGTGCAGAAGACAAACAGACTGAGCTGCACTTTCTTGTTCTTGTGGTTTTACAGCAACATCAAGTCTTGGTCTCTTTGCAGTGGAAGGTGTTTCTTGGTGAAGAGCTGGTGCCTTTTGCTTTGGCGTTGACTTTTTAAATTCGTAACCAAGGCTGAGTGAGGGATCGGGATTTTGCTTTGTTGGCGCTCCACATACAAAATGTTCACTGCAAACTCGGGATGATTTAGGCAGTCAAAGGTTTCCTTTTTGGTCCTTCCTGTGGATCAATCCTGCCCATCACCTTCACCTTTCACTATGGGAAGGAACAGAGGTTTGCAGTCACACACATCTGATTCACTTTTGCATCTATGGAGTTTACAAACTAATTTCTTGAGCCGTTTTCCACTGTTAGGATCCAACAACCACACAATTAACGATGTCTGAATCCCAAAATTAAAATATGACAATATCAGAACCAGAAACAAAAGTGATATGGTTCAAAAGACTTGAAAAGATCGACTTTGTCAATAGACACATCCCACTGGGAAAACAAACATGGAGGTTTGATGCTCACTTTTTCGGAAAATCCTTCCCAGTATGTATTGTGCAATGACCGGAAGTCCAAGAAACTTGATGCGTGTATTGATCCTAAAACTTTCAAACTAGATAGCTCATTTTTCACAGGTACCAGGAACTGTTCTTGAATGTCTTTAGAATGATCTTGAGCTGGATCAGAACTATAAGAGCACACGTATACACCCAGGGAGCACTATGGAAATGACCTGGACCACTGAGGAATTACACACATATAATTACACACATGGGAATAGAAAATAATTGAGTTTTAGCAATTTTAGTATGATGACAACACTAGTTCGAATCCAGTATTGCTTTTACTAATAACAAATGTATGCTGATTAAACAAAGAATCATGTACAGGTTAAGCCAGTGATCCAATCACAAAACAGATGGTGTTCCTCACTCGGAGTTCCCAGATTCTAAAATCCAAATAAACCTAAAAGGATTCTTTCTGATCAGAATTGTCACTACCTCAACCCCAGCAGCTACAGCCAATCATTAAAGGCCCATATTATGCTCTTTTCTGTTCTATATTATGTCGTTTCCTCATCATAAACAGACTGTTTAGTTTCATTTGTTTAACACACATACCCTGTGTATTTAGGCTGCTCTTGTTCTTTTAAACACATATCACTCCACCTTCCACCTTGTGATGTCATGTAGGAATATAGGAAGTGCTCCACTGTGTTTTTAAACTCCACACACCTTCACTAGAATCACTTGGATCATTTCAGCCCTGGAATTGTCAATCTCTACTGAACTGAAGGTAAAAGGAGCTGTTTACTTAAAAACTACAACTTCATAAGCTCACAAAGTGGAAAAAGTGAAACAGAACACCACTCCAGGTCTGTTTATGAGGAGCTAACATTCTAACGTGACTTAAAACTTACAAGAGTCGATTTTATCTAATATAGGACCTTTAAAGTGGAACTAAACACCAATTCCACATTTTTCACAGCTAAACTGTGTATATGGTGTTTGAATAGCATTGCACTCGGACCCTAATCATTTTTGGGAGCTTTTAGGCAAACTACGGACATGTGCAGCTTTCTGATCAAACATATCCAAATCTAGAATAGCCTGTGCAATTTCCAGTAGTTGGTGACATCACAGGAGACTGCCCTGATTACAGACAGGTGTTTTTGTGTACAAACAGTGTGGATACCTGTTAGACCAGTCACACTGTTCCTTACACCTCCTGACCCCGCCCCTCGCCCCCCTCACTCTCCCTTTCAGTCCTCCAGGTACTGCCCTGTTTAGCAGCTCTGTTTGAAATGAGGTTGTGGGCGGAGGGTGTTAGTGCCACTTTAAACAGCGTTGGTGCAGCAGCTCAAAATGCTCTGTTCCACCTTCTTGTCATGAAGTAGTAGTTTTCAAGGGAACAGCTTCTTTTCTGTTTTGTTCAGTAAAGATTGGAAATTCCAAGACTGAAATTATCCAGTTGACTGTAGTGAAGGTGTGTGGAGTTTAAAACACAGTGGAGAATTTCCTGTACTCACATCACAAGGAGGAGCAGAGTGTTTTTTTTTTTCCATTTGAGAGAAGAACTCAGCCTAAATATGTGTTAAACATGTGTGAAGGAAACATTATAACATAGATGAGAAAACAGTGTAATATGAGCCCTTTAAACTTGACTCTGTTCTGAACAGTGAAACAGTCTGGAGAATGTTTGGAGTGTTGACTCACCGTAAGCAGTTCCTTCTGAAAGGACTTCCTCTCCTTACTGTCAGCATTGTTACAGTCCTCTTTGAGTTTCTCCAGCACAGAGGCCACCCTCTCAGGCTCACTGTCCAGCTCAGCTCTGCAGAAGTGGCTCAGAGGCAGGTTCTTGTAGCCCAGAGCGTCTGCAAAGGCTCTCCAATCCCCAATGTTCTCCATCAGAACGGTCCTCACAGAGGCATAGATGTATGTCAGGAACTTAGAAGGCTTTAGGAGCTGCTCCAGCAGACCAGACGTGGTGAGCTCAGGCCCGTTAAAGTAAATGGGTTTGACTTTTCCAACAATCAGCACATTCTTGGTGTGTAGCAGACCCACCTTGCCCTGGTAATATCCAATGTACCACTCCTTAGTCCACAGGTGTCCCTTCAGTCTGATCTTCTCCTCACTGAGCAGGACCACAAAGTCTCCTTTTTTGTACTCCAGCAGGTACTGGTTCTTATTTTGCCTGATGACTGTTTTGATAAGCTTTCCAAACTTCAGGTTGTTGATTTTGCGGTCTTGGAACACAGGGTATTTAGTGGCCACAGCTAGAGGAGATAGTACTATCTTCCCCACCTCCTTCTTCTTGAGGAACCGGCGCTGTACAGAACTCTTGGGCCCTGCTTTAGGAGGAGCCGTTGGTGTCTGCACACAGAACTGTGCCAGGATACAGTCCTGATGGCTCTTGACCTGGATGCGCAAGGTGAAGTCTGACAGCTCCTCTGCATTCTGGGAGGAGATGACGTACACCAGTCGGCTCACTTTCCCCAGTTTGACCTGGAACCCTCGCACGATCTTAGCCTCTCCGGGCTGGACCTTGTAGTTGGCCATGTTGGAATAGACCCCCACATGTAGGTCCTGGGGCTTGGACAGGACAAACTGGTGCTTCCCCCACAGCTGCAGAGCCACAGAGGGAGTTGCCTGTGCCTGCTTCCCCACCTCATTCACCAGCAGCGTCTTGGGAGCACAGTCATGACCGAACAGAGCTACCACGGTTTTAAAGAGCGGGTGGATATGCTTGGGTCCATACACCCCTAAGGTGATCTTCTTGACCACTTGCTCCCAGACAGTGGTCTCTGGCGACAGGGCCTTTGACTGCGCTACCACGCACACATATATACAGGGCTCCAAGTTGTCCAAACACACCTGCACCGTGTCTCCGTACATGTAGGCTTGTGGAACAGGGGTGTAAGGACCCTCTTTGCAATCACTCCGCACACAGAGGACCTCAGTACTCTGCCGGCTCTCCATCTTGACCACCACGGACAGCTTCATCTCCAGAGTCACTGGGCTTTTGGTCTCCATGTTGCTCAGTTTGATCTCCACCACCGGGCTGACCGTAGTGCAGCGGTCGTTGTTCAGCTCCAGTGGTGGGTCTAGCAGGGCTTTCATGGAGATCTGCTGGGTGTCTCCCTGGAGCACGTGGCCTTCTGGAATGTAGATGCTGATATTGGTGTCTGGGAGCTGGACTGCACCGCCTGAATGATCCAACCGGCACACAATGTTTGTCTCCACTGGCTGCGTTTGACCCCAGCCAGGATTCTGTCCGATGGAGTCCAAATCGTGGCAAGACCTGGCAAGTTTCCGGTGAGTAAGCCACGCCTCTCTGAAGTCCTCTCTGCTCTGGAACTGCTCAGGGGCCGGTGCCTTCAAACCTCCAAAGAACCCGCTGGACATTTGAGTGCCATCTGACTGAGATTGCAAGATGGACAATTCTGACAGACTATAGGAACGCTTGCTTCTGAAGAACGGGTTGTCTCTACGTAACGAAGAACCCAACCCTGAAGGTGTCACTGGGACGGACAGGTTTGGAAAGCCACTGTCAGAATCTGATGCAGCAGGAGGGTCGAAGAACAGCAGGTCTACAGATTTTTGGTTCCTGTTCTGGTCTAGCGAGCTTTCAGCGCTGATGAATGGGTTGGTGGAGGTGTTGGTGAAGGGGTTGTGGAGGTGAGGTTTGAGGATCACGCCGGGCCATTCTCCCAGCAGGTCCAGCTCTTTGGCCGGGTCTTCGCTGACCTCTCCCAGGGTGTCGATCATGCCACTGTCGCTGAAGGAGGAGTCGCGGTAGTTGAGTGGTTGCACGTAGGCGGCAGGTATGTAGCCCATCTCAGTGTTGTTGTGCGCGTACCACCACTCGCCTCCAGAAGAGTCCAGCACGTACAGGCGGTCCCCTTTGGAGAACTTGAGCGTGGTGAAGCTGGAAGGGCAGTAGTCCTTGATGGCCACCACCTCACGGGCAGCACCGAACGAGGCCGTGGAGTCCAACCGCAAGGCACTGGGAGAAGGCACTGTGGAGGCAAACACGGACCAGACCAAATGTTTATATTGGAGATAATTATACTACATGTTCAATATCCATTATGTCAAAATTACTTTATTACTTTCATGTTTTTTGTTTTATTATCTGACTAAAAGTGTAATTTTCCATAACACTGGATTTATTCAACAACACCACAAAATCTGCACATTAACAAAGATATTTGAGACATTTTTCTTGCTCCAAGTCTTAGTTAAACACTACAGCCATCGAGGAAGATGGGAGAGCATGGGAGGGCATCTGACATATAAGGACACAAGACTATGGGAGGACATCTGACACACAGGAGGAGGAGAATGGGAGGGCATGTGAGACGCAGGAGTATGGAAGGACACCTGACCTTTGACATGGGTGAGCGAGGCCTCGGACACGCCCTCGCTCAGGTCGATGAGGGTCCCCTCGGAGCGGCAGCGGGGCAGGGCGGGGTTACTGCTGGTGGAGGCGCGGATGCGATGAGCCGCCATCTTGGATCCTCTCAAGGCAAAGTGGGGGTCAGCAGGTTTCCATGGTTACTACACCACACAGAGACAGGACCAGGTTAGAGACAATGCTCCCTACATCTCACTAGAGTTGTCAAAAGTATCGAAAATCAGATACTAATCGATACTAAACCTATTATCTGGGAGAGATCTCTGAAATACTCCAACATGCACTGATGACATCTAAAACCCCTTCAGGTATGTTTTGGATGAGGCAACAAGAACAAGCAGATTAATAACCAGTATTCATATTTACATGTCTTGAACCCTCCTCTACAAGTTCAACCAGGACCCCTATAAACAGGTGTGGCATTGCCGTACATAGCACCCTCTTGTGACCCGGTAACAGGTCTGACTCCTCTGGACTTCCTCCTGACCTCCTGCGGTGTTCAAAGCTCTCAGGATTACAGCCGAGTGCAGTCACATCAAAGTCCCTGAACACTGTTTACGGTGCCGTCCTCAAACGCACCGCCCTCTCTCACAGACAGACACGTGTTCAGACAGGCCTGTTCAAATACACCCAACAGACTCTTCAGTACCACACAGGCCTCACACAAACCAAACTCACTACTACTGAGAGCCATGGTCTGAAATGTTGTTATCCATCATGGAAATATCGGTTATCGCCCCCAAGTAAAAGTTTATGATGTGGATTCATTTGGTTGGAAGTTTATTCTGGCTGGACACCACAGCCCTCTGCAGGCCTTTTCCCCTTAAGGTGACACATTGCAGGTGACCAGGAAAAACAATCTGAGGACTAAAGCAGGACTAAACTAGGTCTAAGCATGTCATCACAACCTGCTCTCTTATCAGTCACATCATCTACTTTGTGTGATTGTTGCTGTACTTTTCCCTCTCCTGTAGATCAGTGTTTTTGTAGATCAAACATTTTTTCTGGGGAAAAGTCACAAACCTTCATGACCCAAGTCAAGAGACATTATTTGTAAATCACAAAATAGGGTGGATTTGACAATTAGTGAACATTAATGAGGATATTTTATTATTGACTATGTGATCGTGTCTCTGAACATTTAGTATTACTCAAGTTTTAAACAATGAAAAACAGTCATTCATTGAAGCAGCACTAAAAGGATCCATAAGTCGCCTATTTGGACATTAAATGTAGCTCAATTCTTTTTCTTTTCAACATTCAACTGAACCAACAATACTGGAACAAATCAGTCAATAAAATAATTATAAAATGATTAGAAATTATATGTCAACATTTCAACATTTCTAATGAGATAGGTGGGCGTGTCTGTATTTTTGTAGTGCATTCCAGTCCGGGTGCAGGAGGAGAGCGCAACAGCAGATCAGGCTCAGATCAGGCGACCCAAAAACAATCTCTTGCAACCCACCAGGGGGTCGCAACCCAGTCTTTGGGAAACAATGCTGTAGATGAACTGACATCAACCTGCTGAGGGACTGAAGAAGGAAATGAGCCTCATTGGCCATAATCTTAATTTAAATTTTAAATGTTCATTAATATTTATTCCCTTTGCATATAAATAAAAACAAGAAACAGTTCACTCAGCCTGCTCTGCTATTGGTCAAAAAGACAGAGCTCCGCCTCCTCTCCCTCAGAGTTTATGGGGAACTTCATGTCAGTCACAGACAGTGGTGACATTCAAAATGCAAATCAGACTGTTTGAGTTTGAGCAACTTGTTTCCTTAAATCTTATTTGGTTTGACTCACACGTGGCCTCTATAGCTTCATTATCAGACGGCCTTTGGGCTTTTTAAACAATCTAATGAGGATGTTTGTCATTGTTACATCAGGTAAGTGGCAGTTTGTGGAACAAGGTTAAAAAGGAACGTACAAAAATACAGGAAGTAGTGCTGAGTTATAAAACAGAAAACCACTGCCTATGTCAGCAACAGGAAAATTCCATCCAAAATGTAGAGTATTTATGCACAAGGAAGGACTTTTCCTTTAAACACTTCATTTAACAAAATAAAGCTGTCATTTATTTGTATTAATCTAATCAGAACTAGTGTGTCATTTAGATTTTCAGTTTTGGCCCTTGTAAACATTATGGTTACCTCTATGTATGTCACATCTGCTGCTCATGTCCAACCAGGAACTAAAATGATAAACTTCTCTTTAATCTTAAAATCTCTTTAATCCAAAATCCAAAATCTTAAAAGCCATTTGAATGTGCGTTTTTGATGTTTTGGATTTTTTTTTTGTCTTGTCCCAGTACATATATATTGTGTAAGCAGCTCTTGAGATTAAAATAAGTCTGCTTTGTTCTGTCTGCATTTCATTATCAAGTTGGTGTTTCAATTGGTAGGGGGATAAGGATGAAGTGCATGGTTAGCATGCCAGTTGGTGTTCTCTGTAGTTAACTGTTGTCTTGTGTTGTGAAAAGTGCTGACTCATTGTGATGAATAATTAAGCTGTTCAGAATGCAGAAAGTGAGGAATAACTTTGGACCACTGCAAACCACCGACCCCATCACCACCCACCCCAACACCACCAACCCCATCACCACCCACCCCAACACCACCAACCCCAACACCATCAACCCCAACACCAACCCCATCACCACCAACCCCATCACCACCAACCCCAACACCACCAACCCCATCACCACCCACCCATCACCACCGACCCCAACACCACCGACCCCAACACCACCGACCCCATCACCACCGACCCATCACCACCAACCCCATCACCACCACCCCAACACCACCAACCCCAACACCATCAACCCCAACACCAACCCCATCACCACCGACCCCATCACCACCACCCCAACACCACCGACCCCAACACCACCGACCCCATCACCACCAACCCCATCACCACCCACCCAACACCACCAACCCCCCAACACCATCAACCCAACACAACCCCATCACCACCAACCCCATCACCACCAACCCCAACACCACCCACCCCATCACCACCCACCCCATCACCACCGACCCCAACACCACCGACCCCAACACCACCGACCCATCACCACCCACCCCATCACCACCAACCCCATCACCACCCACCCCATCACCACCCAACCCAACACCCAACCCCACCCATCACCACCAACCCCAACACCACCCACCCCAACACCCACCAACCCCATCACCACCAACCCCAACACCACCAACCCCATCACCACCCACCCCATCACACCGACCCCAACACCACCGACCCCAACACCAGCAACACCACAAACACCAACCCCATCACCACCCACCCCAACACCACCAACCCCATCACCACCCACCCCATCACCACCAACCCCATCACCACCAACCCACCACCACCCACCCATCACCACCCACCCATCACCACCAACCCCATCACCACCAACCCATCACCACCCAACCCCAACACCACCAACCCCATCACCACCCACCCAACACCACCAAACCCCATCACCACCAACCCATCACCACCACCCCCATCACCACCAAACCCCATCACCACCCACCCATCACCACCAACCCCATCACCACCAACCCATCACCACCCACCCCATCACCACCAACCCCAACACCACCCACCCCATCACCACCAACCCCAACACCACCAACCCCATCACCACCAACCCCAACACCACCAACCCCATCACCACCGACCCCAACACCAGCAACACCACAAACACCAACCCCAACACCACCAACACCCAACCCCAACACCACCAACCCCAACACCAACCGCAACACCACAACCCAAACACCCAACCCCAACACCAACCCCAACACCACCCACCCCATCACCACCCACCCCATCACCACTCACCCCATCACCACCAACCCCATCACCACCAACCCCAACACAAACCAACCCCAACACCACCCACCCCATCACCACCAACCCCAACACCACCCACCCCCACATCACCACCAACCCCAACACCACCACCCACCCCATCACCACCAACCCCAACACCACCCACCCCAACACACCACCAACCCCATCACCACCAACCCCAACACCACCAACCCCATCACCACCCACCCCATCACCACCGACCCCAACACCACCGACCCCAACACCACAAACACCAACCCCATCACCACCAACCCCAACACCACCAACCCCAACACCACCAACCCCATCACCACCGACCCCAACACCAGCAACACCACAAACACCAACCCAACACCACCAACCCCAACACCAACCCAACACCACCAACCCCAACACCAACCGCAACACCACAACCCCAACACCAACCCCAACACCAACCCCAACCACCACCACCCCACCCCATCACCACTCACCCATCACCACCAACCCCATCACACCAACCCCATCACCACCAACCCCAACACCCAACCCATCACCACCAACCCCATCACCACCCACCCCAACACCACCAACCCCATCACCACCAACCCCAACACCACCAACCCCATCACCACCAACCCCAACACCAACCCCAACACCAACCGCAACACCAACAACCCCAACACCAACCCCCAACACCAACCCCATCACCACCAACCCCAACACCACCCACCCCATCACCACCAACCCCATCACCACCAACCCCAACACCAACCCCATCACCACCCACCCCATCACCACCAACACCACCAACCCCATCACCACCAACCCCAAACACACCCACCCCATCACCACCTACTCCAACACCACCCACCCATCACCACCCACCCCATCACTACCGACCCCATCACCACCCACCCCATCACTACCGACCCCATCACCACCGACCCCATCACCACCAACCTCACCACCGACCCCATCACCACTAACCCCATCATCACCAACCCCATCACCACCAACCCTAACACCACCAACCCCATCACCACCCACCCCATCACCACCGACCCCAACACCACCAACCCCATCACCACCAACCTCATCACCACCCACCCCATTACCACCGACCCCAACACCACCAACACCACCAACACCAACACCACCAACCCCAACACCACAACCCCAACACCAACCCCATCACCACCAACCCCAACACCACCCACCCCATCACCACCAACCCCAACAACCAACCCCATCACCACCAACCCCAACACCACCCACCCATCACCACAACCCCAACACCACCAACCCCATCACCACCAACCCCAACACCAACCCCATCACCACCAACCCCAACACCAACCCCAACACCACCAACCCCAACACCACCCACCCCATCACCACCAACCCCAACACCACCCACCCCATCACCACCTACTCCAACACCACCCACCCCATCACTACCGACCCCATCACCACCAACCTCATCACCACCGACCCCAACACCAATCCTGTCACAAACCCTTAGGAATGTGAGGAATGCAGGAGAGGGCCATGTGATCTGAGTCTAACTTCAGAATCCAGATTCCTGCTCCCGGGTCCAGAGACCCTCCCTAGAGTCCTCCCTAAGTTCTCCAGCTCCAGTTCAGTGCCAGTCTGGTCCAGGATCTGGGTCTACAGGCATTCCAAGGCTGTTGAGTTGCATTATTTGGCTTATAGTAATACATATCTGTGAGTGTGTGAGTGTGTGAGTGTGTGTGTGTGCGTGTGTGTGTGCATGTGTGTACATGTGTGGTGTGAGTGTGGCTTCAGGAGCAGAAGGAGAGCTTCATGAATCCAATCTGTTCTTACGCCTGTGTTATCAGCACAGTTTCATGTGTGAGTCCGCCCACAGCCCACTGTAGTGTGTGTGCATGTGCTTGTGTGTGCTTTTGTGTGTGCATGTGTGCTTTTGTGTGTATGTGTGTGCGTGTGTGTGCTGGGAAGTGGGGGTAGAGGGGCACAATGACTTCTATTCAGACCCAACAGCACCAGACCTGCACCTGCTGCTCACCTGACAGAGCCCACAGACAGAGGCTCATCCACTGCTTTAGTCCTGGTCTAGTCTTGGTTTAGTCCTGGTTTGATCCTGGTTTAGCCTTGGTTTAGTTAGTACAGGTTTAATCCTAATTTATTTCTAGTTTATGTTCAGCTTCAGTCCTGGTTTACTCTTGGATTAGTCTGGGTTCAGTCCAGGTTTACTACAGATTTATTTAGTACAGCTTTAGTCCTGGTTTTGTACAGATTTATTTAGTACACGTTTAGTCTTGGTTTAGTCCTGGTTTAGTAGTTTTGGCCTCTCCACATCGGGCACATTAAAGTTGCTAATATTGACATGCCATTTTCAGATTCACTTCTTGTGTCCAGCAGTGCGCCCTGTGTCGTTGTCCAGCTCTGGGCTCTTACAGACTCTGGGGGTCAGTGCAGTCATTGTGGTTTAACAGACTTCTGCTTCTCACAGACTTTTGGACGTCACGCTGCTCTGATGTGGAGCTTTGATTCCCTGTCCACATGCTCCTCTGTCCTCCTTTTTCAGGAGGACAGAGGACACAGCTGCGGGCAGTGGGTTCACATGTTTGAGAGCCCAGAGTGTTTGGGCCTGTGGGACATTGTAAGACACTGTTTAAAGGGCTCAGATTACACTATTTTCTGATCTCTCTTATAATGTTCTTTCCTCACCCCAATATATCTGGAGTTGTGCTTTGTTTTTGTTTCATGCACACATGTTTAACACACAAACCCTGCATATGCATAAACTTCAAACATCTTCACAAGAATCATTTGACTCATGTGCGTCCTCGAAATGACTAAACTGTGAAGCTACAGCAGTTGTTTTAACCTCTTTGAACTGTCTTTGTCTTTCGGTGGACCAGGACATAGCTACTGGAGACTGTCTGTGGCAATTCTGACTGAACAAAAGGAAAATATTTGTAGAAAGGGCAACTATTGATGGGTATTCTACTGTACTGCAGTATAAAGCAGTTTGGCTAAGTTCAAGTAAAACAGAGCATTTAGAGCTTTGGACATGTAGACAGACTAATAATGCAGGTTTACGCAAACATGTGTGAATGAAACAAACACAACTCCAGCTTTGTTTTTGAGCAGGCTAAAAGCTCACAAGAGTCCATTTTGTTTATAGAGGACCTTCAGCTCCTTTTCTAGACGTTCCATAATTTGTGACATTTTGGGTTCATGTTAGGGTTAAACAAGTTGAGAAAAATATCTGGCAATTCTTGTGATTAGACTTAGATGAACTTCATTGATCCACAGGGGAAAATACATGGACACAGTAGCTCAAATAAAAATAAAAATAAAATAGAAAATATGTAATAAATATAAAGTAATAAATAAGTTACATAAAGGTGAGTTGTTGTACATTTGTAGGGAGTATTATCTGTCCCTCTATAGTGCAGTGGGTGAGTTTTTGTACAGTTGTAGCGAGTATTATCTGTCCCTCTATAGTGCAGTGGGTGAGTTGTTGTACAGTTGTAGGGAGTATTATCTGTCTCTCTATAGTCTGATGCAGTGGGTGAGTTGTTGTACATTTGTAGGGAGTATTATCTGTCCTTCTATAGTGCAGTGGGTGAGTTGTTGTACATTTGTAGGGAGTATTATCTGTCCTTCTATAGTGCAGTGGGTGAGTTGTTGTACATTTGTAGGGAGTATTATCTGTCCTTCTATAGTGCAGTGCATGAGTTGTTGTACAGTTGTAGGGAGTATTATCTGTCTCTCTATAGTCTGGTGCAGTGGGTGAGTTGTTGTACATTTGTAGGGAGTATTATCTGTCCCTCTATAGTGCAGTGGGTGAGTTGTTGTACATTTGTAGGGAGTATTATCTGTCCCTCTATAGTGCAGTGGGTGAGTTGTTGTACAGTTGTAGGGAGTATTCTCTGTCTCTCTATAGTCTGATGCAGTGGGTGAGTTGTTGTACATTTGTAGGGAGTATTATCTGTCCTTCTATAGTGCAGTGGGTGAGTTGTTGTACATTTGTAGGGAGTATTATCTGTCCTTCTATAGTGCAGTGGGTGAGTTGTTGTACATTTGTAGGGAGTATTATCTGTCCTTCTATAGTGCAGTGCATGAGTTGTTGTACAGTTGTAGGGAGTATTATCTGTCTCTCTATAGTCTGGTGCAGTGGGTGAGTTGTTGTACATTTGTAGGGAGTATTATCTGTCCCTCTATAGTGCAGTGGGTGAGTTGTTGTACATTTGTAGGGAGTATTATCTGTCCCTCTATAGTGCAGTGGGTGAGTTGTTGTACAGTTGTAGGGAGTATTCTCTGTCTCTCTATAGTCTGATGCAGTGGGTGAGTTGTTGTACATTTGTAGGGAGTATTATCTGTCCTTCTATAGTGCAGTGGGTGAGTTGTTGTACATTTGTAGGGAGTATTATCTGTCCTTCTATAGTGCAGTGGGTGAGTTGTTGTACAGTTGTAGGGAGTATTATCTGTCCCTCTCGTGCAGTGTCCATGATGGAGAGCAGTTTGTCCAGTGATTGTGATTAGATTTGCGATTTATGTTTTAATAATCTGTTTAAAATTGAGATTTTAAACATGTTCAGAAGAACTGACAAAAAAACAAACAAACCTGAAATCTGAACTGAAGCTAATACAAGAATCACATTTCAGAAGATGTTTGTACAGATCTAAACTACACGGGTAGATGTTTTTAGGCAGAATAAGTCTTTGGGAATATTGATTGTGTTTGTGGAGGAAATGCTGGCACTTCCAACATGGCTGCCTCTGGGTTCTGCTCATTTGTCTTTCATTTAAACTTTGGTGTCATTCGGCCTGTGATTCCTCTCACCTGTGACCAAGTCCAAACTAACTTTTTACAGACAAGACAAAGATGCATTTTGAGGTAAGATTACAACAAAAGCACATCCAGCTTTTCTTTTACTTTGTTAGTGTTTAGGCTCGCACATGTGGATTTTTGACAATATATTTTTTCACATTAGGTTAAGATTAGAGTTAGGATCAGGCTTAGATTCAGGGTTTTGGTTAAGTCTGCTCACCAGGTCCTGGCAAAACGGAGCTGCAGTTTTTTTTAGACAAAAGAAAATGATAAGTAAATAAAAGTATTGGATCCCTGTATTGAACAGATCATAAAATGGATCATTATCTTACAATTTGGACATTTTAAATCACAATATTGATCTAAAACAACTTAATAAAAGAAACAAATCCACTGACTTCTTTGTAAGAAAACTGCAGCGGCGCCCAGTGGGAGCTGATGACGTCGTAAACCATCATCATCAGCACACATCGCTGTGCTGTGGGGCCCTTCTATGGATAAATGCAAATCACATTAGCAGGTATAGGATTTTGAAATTTTGACAAAACAACTGCAGAATCCTATGTATATATAAGAGAGTATGAAAACTAAAACTGGACAAGGAAGTGTGTACATCACAGTGGGTGTGTACTAGCCTGATTTATCAGCTGTTTTCACTTCATGGAAACTGTCTGACCTCGCAGTGTTAGAATTTGTTCACTTGACAGTAGGCAGATACTTTTTTCAATTTAACCAATTGCTGCCGTTTGGTCGTGACGTCTGTAATGTTCCAGTAACAGAGCAACTGGTATATTAAGCTTTTCCCAAACCCAATAGGAAGAAGGACAATAACGTCTTTCCCCTTGGTACAATTCACCAAACATTCTCTATGTTCCGACTTTCGATTCGTTGACAACACTGAATGTCTGGCTCTTCGCTGATTGGTTGGTGCCCGAACTCGCACTTCTGGATTCTTACAAACTGTCTAGTGTATTTTGATTCCTGATCTAGTCGCTGGAGAGAAATGAATTTGAGTGGAGGCACTAGGTGGCGCCAGTCTGACTAGGTATGTACCAGACGAGCCAAAAATGGGGGTACATCAGCAAAATGGTGAGTTTTGTCTAGTTTTAATAAAACTAATAATAATTATACAACAGACTTGTATAGCGCTTTCTTTTTGACACTCAAAGACACTTTACAAATGAACAAGAAGTCACTGTAGAAAACGGGGGAATCACGGAGGGAACGCCACATTGAACAGGTGAGTTTTTAGTCATGATTTGAAGTGCTGCAGTGAATTTGAGTTCCTGGTGGACTGTGGAGTGAGTTCCAGAGAGATTTTACAATTTTGGTGAAGTTTATCATTTTACTTCCTGGTTGGACACAGGCAGCAGATGTGACATAGGTCATCCCAGTTTGGTTACTTAGCAACCATAATGTAAACAAGACTCTAAATTACACAGTAGTGGCAATTAGGCAAATAGAATTAGAGACACACCTTTATTTTGTAAAATAATGGTTTAAACAGTCAGAAAAATGCTGTAAATTGTCCTTATATTTTGGGTAGTTTTAGAACTCAGCACTACTTCCTGTATTTTTGTATTTTTCTTCTCAACATTTTCCCTACAAACAGCCACTTAACTGATGTAAAACTAAGATCAGTATCGACCACAGGTCCTATCCTCCAAACCCGTCATATATGCACTTTAAACAGATGGAGATATGAAGAGGCCAAACAATAAAGTGAGTGTTCAAAAGTATCTGACACAGTTCCAAGGCTCTTTGGTTTACTTTGCACTGGGTTTGTCAAAAATCAGATACTAATCGAAACTAAAACTAGTTTAGAAACTAGATACTCATTTTTCTCAGGTATAGATCCTAAAAAGTGCCATTCACAGACAGAAGTGAACCTTTCCTGAAAGTCTTTAGAATGATGTTGAGCTGTGTCACAACAAGTAGAAGACACATAGACTATACACACATGGACTGGAAAGTTCTGTCAGTTAATGTGCAAAATTGATGAAGAATTTTTTTTTTTTAATTATTATTTTATTCTCATCGTGGTATCAGAATCAGTTTGAGTATCGAGTCTACTCCTTATTGTTTCCTTAGAAAAAAAGTGTTAAATATTAGAATGGTGACAACACTAGTAGAAAATATGGTTTAGGTAAATGCACATCTCTGAGACAGACCTGTGTGTGAGAGACATGTCCCATTGTGTTTGACATGATTTGTTTATGACAGACACTTCCTGGTTCTATCCTGACATTTAGCTGCTATTGGACAAATATTTACATAAATGAGGCCCCCACAAGACTTCATTTTATCTGCACAAAGATTATTCCTACATACTTTGTGATGCTCAAGTACAAGTCCCGAGAACAGGTCTGTTTCCACAGCTGACATTTGGATCTTAAATCTGTTAACCCTTTTCTTCCAGTCGACTTCAGTCTGGAATTTGGAACATGTTTGCCAACATCCCTTTCTAAAGGGACTGTTTATGAGTTTCAGCTTTGATGACCTCAACCATTCAAATGTTAGGCTATAATATTCAGTTAATAATCACCATGGCAACTGTCCTTACTTTTCATCATCTACATGAAACCCATGGACTGCTCTGTGTGGAAATGAGGGAAAAGACACTTTGTGTCCCCGCTCACATTTAAAATGTGATCTTCAGGATCTTATCTTTGGACCGTCTGTCCACAGGTCTGTAGTTGCCTAAAAAGGCAGAGTGAGGACACTTGGTTCTAGCCTAAATCTCATCTCGTGTTGCCTTCCTGTAACCATGGCAACCGGGAATCTTCAATCTTTGGTCCGTTCCACGAATCCACACGTTTTCTGAATACGCGCACGTCTCCGCGCTCTGTGCGCTGTCTTTCCACAGTGTACACTACACACACACGTGTAAAGAAAAGCACACACGTACAAGGCAAGACTGGTCATTACATCAAGCCTGCTACGCTAACCGTTAGCCCTGATGCTGTGGGGAACTCCAAACACAAGCACAGAGCCAAAGAGCCAAAGAGCCGCTTCCCCCGCCACACATCCGCTCCAAACCCGGCCAACCACACGGACTAGGACAACGCAGTGCCCGCGGAGACACGGGGAGACACGGGGACTCCGGGAGCGCAGTCCCCACACGGTTAAAGCGAGCCCCGAGCTAACAGCCTGGATTTCCCCACAGCAAAAACTTCTAGACTTGAGCTGGCACCGCGGACAGCCTCTGCTCCACTGCGCACGGACACTCAGCCAAAGTGGGCAAAAGCACGTCTGTGGATGAGACGAGGGCGCGCTTACCGTGGGTACGTTCTGGTCCACGGAACAGCGGAGAGACCGCGGCAGGAGGACGGCTTCGGCTCCGGGCTCAGGAGGGCTGCAGCTGGAGGAGCGATCCACCCAGGGCCCGGAGGAAAGAGCGGAGCGGGGGGGGGGGGGGGGGGGGGTGGGGGGGGTGATAGCAGCGGGGCCAGAGGGAGGGAGAGGCGGGCGGAGGAGGGGAGAGGCGGGCGGAGGAGAGGAGGGGCCGTCACGTCTCCAACAGGACATGATGTCAGGAGCAGCCTCAGCAGACCCACCGCGCTGGGAGCGTCCTGTCTCATGAGCTCCAGAACAGTCTAGTCTAATGCAAAACCAAACCACAAGGATCCAGCCCAGTCATTCTGAAACTTCCACATCAACTATCACCTGATCCACCACAAAACATCTGAACTAAACACACAAGAAGGACTAAGACTACTTCTGACGAGGCTCATAATACCAAATGTACTCTAAACATACTCGAAACTAAAATACTCTAAATAAACAAATACTCAAACTGCACTCCCACCTGACCTGACTGTTGACTATAGACGAGTGTATACTTTAACACACTGTAACACACTGAAGTACACTGTAACACACTGCAATAGACTGTAGTAGTAGTAGTAGTAGTAGTAGTAGTAGTAGTAGTAGACTGTAGTACGATGCAATAGACTGTAGTACACTGTAATAGACTGTAGTAGTAGTAGTAGACAGTAGTACACTGTAACAGACTGTAGTAGTAGTAGATTGTAGTAGACTCTAGTAGACTGTAGCACTAGTAGTAGTAGTAGTAGAACTCATAGACTGTAGTACACTGTAACAGATTGTATTAGTAGGAGACTGTAGTACACAGTAGTATTAGGAGACTGTAGGAGACTATAGTAGACTGTAGTAGACAGTAGTAGTGTGTAGTAGTGTGTACTGCAGTGTAGTGTAGTGTGTTCTTTTGGTACTTCCCTGTCAGTGCAGTTCTAGGTCTTTACAGGAGAATACACATACATACACACACACACATCTGCTACACACACACATCTCCTACACACACACATCTCCTACACACACACATCTCCTACACACACACATCTCCTACCCACACACATCTGCTACACACACACACATCTGCTACACACACATCTGCTACACACACACATCTGCTACACACACACATCTGCTACACACACATCTGCTACACACACACATCTGCTACACACACAAACCACTGCTACACACAAACCACTGCTACACACACACATCTGCTACACACATATCTGCTACACACACAAACCACTGCTACACACACATCTGCTACACACACACATCTGCTACACACACAAACCACTGCTACACACAAACCACTGCTACACACACACATCTGCTACACACACATCTGCTACACACACACATCTGCTACACACACATCTGCTACACACACACATCTGCTACACACACAAACCACTGCTACACACAAACCACTGCTACACACACACATCTGCTACACACATATCTGCTACACACACACACAAACCACTGCTACACACACATCTGCTACACACAACTGCTACACACACATCTGCTACACACACATCTGCTACACACACACATCTGCTACACACACATCTGCTACACACACATCTGCTACACACACATCTGCTACACACACATCTGCTACACACACACATCTGCTACACACACACATCTGCTACACACACACATCTGCTACACACACACATCTGCTACACACACATCTGCTACACACACACATCTGCTACACACACATCTGCTACACACACACATCTGCTACACACACACATCTGCTATACACACAAACCACTGCTACACACACATCTGTTACACACACACATCTGCTACACACACATCTGCTACACACACACATCTGCTACACACACATCTGCTACACACATCTGCTACACACACATCTGCTACACACATATCTGTTACACACACACATCTGCTACACACACATCTGCTACACACACATCTACACACACACATCTGCTACACACACATCTGCTACACACACATCTGCTACACACACACATCTGCTACACACACATCTGCTACACACACACATCTGCTACACACACACATCTGCTACACACACATCTGCTACACACACACATCTGCTACACACACACATCTGCTACACACACACATCTGCTACACACACACATGCTTGTGCACAGGGCAGGCCTGCAGCAGGCCCAGAGCAGGTCTGGAGGCTCGGTGCTTGTGGGTGCACTGAGGTGGGACTTCCTCACTTTGTTCACACACTTCCTGGTTTTGTCTGGGCTCTGGAGACTGAGTCAGGCTTCACTGAACCCAAAGTCAGGATTGAGGATTCAGGTGTGAGAGAGTCCCAGTGCACCTCTGTTCAAATCCTGACATCTATAGACTAAGACAAACTTCTTTCAAACTGAAAACGCTACAGGAAGTGCTCTATTGTGTTTTTAAGCTTCAAACACCTTCATATTTCAGCTCTGGAATTGCCCATCTCTCCTGAACCAAAGAGAAAAGGAGCTGTTTAAAACTTCAAAAACTTCAAAATTCCTTTCCATAATATCAGCTCTTTAAAATCCCAGTCCTTTAAGTTCCTTAAACTGAAATCATGTGAATAAAGCTCCACTTTTCACACTGCAGTGATACAAAAGTTCCACTGGCTTCAGGTCAGAGCAGGTCACAGAGGAACTGTCTGCTGGACTTCCATGTGCTTCTTCCTCCTCCTGCCTCCTCCTGCCTCCTCCTGCCTCCTCCTGCCCCCTCCTGCCTCCTCCTGCCATCTGTGTTCCTCTTCACAGTCTCCTGTTCACACATGTGCAGGTCACACGTGTGCACATCACACATGTGCAGGTCACACGTGTGCACATCACACAGGTGCAGGTCACACGTGTGCACACACAAACACCACATGAATTAAAAAGTCAAATATGAAAAACTGACATAATATGATGATGATTATTATTATGATTATTATTATTATCATTATCATTATTATTTATTCTTACAGTGAGTGGGCTCGCATCTCCATAAACCTGACCCTTCTTTGGCCTGGAGGAGGGCCTGCTCCTGCTTGTTTCCATGGAGACGTTGTGCCTTTGGTTATAATATTCCACAGTATCACACACACAATCTATCTCCATGGAGAATGTTCTGAAGTGATGTGAACTCTGTATTACCATGGAAACATGCAGTTGACTTTCCACCTTCAGAAAGCTCCACACTGTAGCTTTAAATGCCTCAATGTGCTTTTCAGTCAGATGTGAAAATGTGTGATTTTTCTCGAGTGTGTTGTTTTCCAGAACAAACAGTTTGATCCTGTTTGACCGAATGTGTTTATGAGGGCAAAACTGCTGAGTCATGCTTCAGACAGTGTTTCAGAACACACAAACACACACACATGCACACACATACACACACATACACACAAACACACGCACACAAACACATACACACACAAACACACACACAAACATACACATAAACATACACACACGCACACACACACACACACACACACCAACAAACATACACACACATACACACACAAACACACACATGAAAACACGCACACAAACACACACAAACACATACACACAAACACACACACACAAACATGAACACAAACACACACAAACACACACCCACACACACACACCCCTACACACACACACACAAACACAAACACACACAAACACACACCCACACACACACACCCCTACACACAAACACGAACACAAACACACACCCACACACACACACACCCCTACACACACACACGGACACAAACACACACAAACACACACCCACACACACACACACCCCTACACACACACACAAACACGAACACAAACACACACAAACACAACACACACCCACACACACACACCCCTACACACACACACAAACACGAACACAAACACACACAAACACACACACACACACACCCTACAACACACAAACACACACAAACACACACAGAAACACCCCCACAAACATACACATAAACATACACACAAACACTCATACAAACACATACACACAAACATACAAATATACACACACACACCCTCATACAAACACACATAAACACACACAAACACCCCCACAAACATACACATAAACATACACATAAACATACACACAAACACTCATACAAACACACACACAAACATACAAATACACACACACACACCCTCATACAAACACACATAAACACACACAAACACCCCCACAAACACCCCAACAAACATACACATAAACATACACATAAACATACACATAAACACACTTAAAAACACATACACACATATGCATACACACAAACATGCAAACAAACACACACATATATTCAAACAAACACATGCATATACACACAATCACACACATGCGCATGTGTACATACACACGCACACACACACACACACATACACACACACACGCACACACACACACACACACACACACATCTCCTACACACACATCTGCTACACACACACACGCGCACGCACACACATATATAAACAAACAAACGCACACATGTTTTGTGCTGTGTCATGGTTGGACGGGTTTCTGCTGCACACTGGAGGTTTTTTTTGCTGAGTTTTGGACGATAGTGTGTCAACTGTTCAATTGAAAATGAACACATCCTGCTTTTGTGCAGAGCTGGTTAACATTTACTCACATTTACTTACTAGAATACACACTTTTCCTCCTCCTTGAGTAATATTTTTGTTGAAGTAACAGTATTCTAAAAGTTGTGCTTCTTCTTCCCTCTGTGAGTCTAACGTGACACAATCTTTCTGTGACAATCTGAAATGATTTAAACATTTGTGTTTCTTGCAGCTCCTTCACATCTGATTTAGTTTGTCACATTTTTGTTACAATTACTCTTGAAGTTACTCCTACTTAGACTCTTGGACCACTACTTTATATTTCTACTTGGGTAATATTCTTTTTTAATTAACTTACTTGGGTACGTTTTGTGGGACATGTTCAGTGCCTGATGTTCTCCTCACCACAACAACACCAACTGAACACTCAGGCTAAAAGGATTTAAACTATGTTGTAATGCTGTCACCTCCTCAAACACACACACACACGCACACACACGAACACCCCCCCCACACACACACGCACGCACGCACGTTTGAGTAATCCTTTAGAATTAATCTGTCTACATCTAAAAGCTCCAAATGCTCTGTTCCACCTTGTGATGTCATGAAGTGGTAGTTTTCAAGTGAAAAAATGAATTTATCCAAATGGTTCTAGTTGATTGAAAGGAGGTTTGTGTGTTTTAATTTCTTGGGTTCTTTTTAAAGACACTGCAGTAAAGTGTATTTCTCTTGTTGACATGTTTCGGCTGCTGCCGCTGTGAGCCATCTTCAGAACTGTCACCGATGTTGGTGGTGGCAGCGAGCAGCCGAAACATGTCAACAAGGTAAATACAATACAATACAAGTATATAAGAAGACAAAATGAACATCATTGGCTTAAGATTTGTGTGTATTATTTATGTGTGAATGAAATAAAACACAACTCCAGGTCTGTTTGTGATGAGCAAACTACATTAGAACATAGTGGATCAGAAAATGGTGTGATATGGCTCCTTGAATTTTAAAACCATTTAAACCATGCTGTTGATCTAAAAATAAAGTATTTATATCATGGGACCAGATTTTTTCCCCATAAGCTGAATATATTTGTAATAGCAGCTACTGTTTTAGCCTCACTTAAACTGACAGAGTTTGTATATTGTGTATTTGACTTGTGTATTTGATGAGGCAGCACATTCAAGTGTTGACTTTCACACACATGTTTTGGAGTCGAGTCAGATTTCCTTATCAGGTCCAGTGTGTGGAGAAGAAGAGCTCCTATGTGAGGGGCTGGCTCCCTCTAGTGTGCACACAAGGACACGGCACACAAGGACACGGCAGGACACAAGGACACGGCACACACTCCCCTGCTGTGTTTGTGCGCCTCTCTCCCAAACCTCTCTCTGTTCTTCAGGGTTTTGTGCTTTTAACATTTAAGTTAATGTCTTACCTTCCACCAGTATTTTCTGACCAGTCGAGTGCTTGATTTCTCTTAAAGAGACATATTCTATAAAAAGGACTTGTATTCATGTTCCAGCTGTTTCCCATCACCGTTTATTCACCTGAAGTTATCTTTGTGATTCTTGCACCTTTGTCTTATTTTCATGACGCCATGTTGCTGATTAACTTCTGTTTTCACCATGACGGTACACGCCCACGGTAACATACAGCGTCATTTGGCTATTAATTAAAAAAAAAAAAAAGTCCACTACTTGCTAGTGTGATGTGCAGGTCTCCACAGGAGGGTCCACAGCGTGCGGCGCTTTGTTGTCATGACGTTTATAGTGACGTCAGCTCCCATTGGGCACAGCAGTTTTCTAACGTGGAAGTCATCACACTTGTTTTATTTCTTATTTTATGTCATTTTAGAATATTCTGATTTAAAAGGTGCAAATGATGAAATACTGATCCACAGGAATCAGAGATTAGAAGTGCAGAGCACACAGGTTCTACAGGTGCTTTCAGGCTCTTGTCTGGGTCTGAGGTGAGGCAGGTAGTGTTTGACTTGCTGCTGTTATGCGCACACATACAGACAGACAGCTTTGACGCCTTTAATGCTCGTGTGTGTTATTCTGTTTCATTCAGACTCTCTGAGGGAAACACTCACTGTACACAACAGCCTGCTGCTGTTCTTAAACACCTTGAAAAGTAACAATACAAATTTAAAGAGGGACTATTGACTTGTGTGAGGTATTAACTTACACAGAACATATTTAGGTCATCATACTTACTACCAAGAAGGAAACTTATAGACAAACAAACAAAAACAAAAAAAAAAACAGTGAGGAGGAGGTGTGTCCAAGCTTTGGACTGGTCATGTAACTACAAACACTGAAATGTTTTTTCATCTGCAGTGTGTTGTGTTAAAGAAGACCCCTGAAACCCCCACAGACACAGAGCAGTGTGCTGGGACTGATCAGGTCACATGACTCCTCTGTCAGCACTAGGGAGGGGCAGAGCGGTCATGTGACCTGCAGCCGAGGGAGTGAGCAGCAGGTGCACAGACAGGACAGGAGCGCTCCTGATCTTGGACCTGCTCACACACAGGTAGGACTCACAGTCACACTGCTCTGAGCTTTACTCACACATTTGTCACAATGTGCAGCCAAATCCTGCTGGAGCACATTTCTGTTTCATTCAAGTGCACCTGTTCTGCAGCACCTCCTTGGTCTCCTGCAGGAGACCTCTGCTGCCCCCTGCTGACCTCAACTCATCTTCTCTGAACTGTTTCCTTCCAGCACAGTGTGTGTGAGTGTGTGCATGCTCCAGGGTCAGGCTGTAGTGAAGTTGTGTTGTAACGTCAAGTGCATGTGACGCTTCTGTTGTTCTGTTGTAAATATAAATGATAGTTTTACACCAACCAAGAAGCATATTTGTGAAGAAAACAAATGTTGAAAATTACAGGAAGTACAGAATAAAACATATTTATGACACCCCACTGGGAGAATTCTATTGAGTTTGGGCCCAGTGTATAACATGGTTGCTAGGTAACACTGTGAAAGTAAAAAAATGAAACCTATAAGTCTTAATTGTGTTCTAGAGAAATGAGTGGTCTAACCTGACACAGGTGTATTCAAGGAGCGCTGGGAGCTCTGCACTCTCACTGCACTCTAACTCTGATGTGCACATGGACATGTGGAGCCTGGAGAGCATCTGACACACTCACATGTTTTTCTCTTTCTTGGTTTGGTGGGAGAGTTTTTATCCTAGTTTACATGTGTGCAGTGGCAGTTCATGGAGAAAGTTGAAAAAGTTGTAAAATACAGGAAGTAGCAGAGAATTATTTTTTTTATAACTATGTTTTTATTGGTTTTAAGTAACATTTCAAAACATACAAAAACAATATAAAATCAAAAAACAATGTAACAACAGTCTGGAGTTACAGGTTCTTATTTAAACATGCATTTGGTATTGACATTTGTGTGCACTATGTTGTTTTTCTGGTGTCATTGATGAATACATTCCATTTTCCCCATTGCTCATTGTATTTGTACCCTTTAAGTTTAAGATTATATGTTATTCTTTCTGTCACTGAAATAGTCTCCACAATGAATTCTACAGAACCTCCAGAATTCCCTCCATGAGCTGCAGAGGCTGCACTAGCACTGACTCATGACTGGTGCAGGTGCTGTGGTTTAAGGAGAGACATTTTAGCTTTAAACACACGGTATTTTAACATCAAAAGCAGCATTTTTGTTCATAATTGATACTTTGCTGTGTCACTTCTTTGGGAGTTAGATTTTCAATGGAATGAAGAGTGTGACCAAAAGAAAACCTGTTGGCTGATGCTTTGTTTGTGACTGTCATGTTATTTGAGAGGGGCTTGTTAAACAACACAGATCAGCTCACCTCTTTCAGCTAAGTCAGTTCTTCATGATCAGATTGTGTTAAAGCAAAGCTCAGATTCTAATCTAATTGGAGTAACAGAGCTTCAGACAGAGCGGTGCCTCCAGTTAGCTTCATAACCCCAGGGAATGTTGATGAGATCAGGTGCAAAGTATCAATAAATCAGTTGTGTTGGTGCCCCCTTCAGGTATGCAGTCTTTGGCGCAGGAGATCCAGAGCTTCTCGCGTGCACGCCTGAAGAGGCAGTGCACCCGGGTGACGTGTCTGAGCGGGCGGCGGGTCATCGAGACGTGGAAGGGCAGCAGCATCACGGTGGAGGAGGAGCCCACTGTGGCAGGCCCGGCTCTGGGCTACGTCCCTGACACCTCCTGGGACCTGCAGGTGGGAGCAGTCACATCGTACCTGCTGCTCGGTGAGTCCTCCCACGCTCCTCTCACATCTTGGCACTCGCCGCTGTACAGTTAATTGACCAATCACATTGCAGCACTGAGGTTTGTGCGGAAGCCATAGGTGAAGCACCCAAACCAACAGAGCGACACAGATAGATGTACTTCAGCCTATTTTAGTGTCAATACAGATGATTTAGTTTGTGAAAAACATGCAGAAGGTAAACACTGTGCATGTGTGGACAGAGAAGATGACTGTGCTTTTCTTTCAGATGGATTTAAAGTTTAGGTCAATCAGATTCAAAAGTTGTCACTCTAATGCTAAACTGAATCAATAAAAGAAGAGAAATGGTAGAAAGTTAAACAGCTGAGGCTCTTCCGACCTCCGATACTGCTCCCAGGACCATCACATCCTCATCCTCCAGCACGTTCCACACAAACAAACCCATCCCCAAACCCACAGAAGCACAGGCCCATAGACCTTGTCACGAGGACGTCACTTCTGTACTGAGAACTTACACAGCAGCCTCTGGTGTTCCACTTCTCCAACCACATCACACGTCACGTTTTTATACGGCGCATCTCCACCTTCAAGACTCAAACTTTACAACAAGTCACCCATTCACACACCAGTGTAGGCAGATACCACTCACAACGACAGCATTCATCTATGAGAGCTACAACCACAGCGCCAACCTGTGGGTCAGTGGATCTGACACTCAACCAACGATGTTATGTCGAGAGCAGGATTGGAACCACCAACCTTTACCAACTAAGCTACGATCATCCGTGTGTGAGTGCAGCTTCCTATAGTCGGCTCAAGTGGCTCCTCTAATGCCCTGGTGGACCAGTGGTCCCTCCACCTCCTCGTCCAGCGTCCCTCCACCTCCTCGTCCAGCGTCCCTCCACCTCCTCGTCCAATAATATAAAGAATAAAATGGTTGAAACTCGTGCCTGTTACACATGTCACACACATTATCACCCCCAAACTCAAAATGCTCTGTTCCACCTTGTGATGTCATGTGGTGGTAGTTTTCATGTTAACAGCACTTTTCCCTTTAATTCACTAGAGATAGAAAATGAAATGATCCAAATTATTCCTGTGAAGGTGTATTGAGTTTAAAAATATATATAGTTTATAATAATAAACTATATAATAAACACAAATAATAATTTGTGTAAGTATAATGCTGTTAGCTGTTAGCGTGCTAACTAACTAAAGACTAAGACTATTTCAAGCCTAGGGAGCCTGAAAACAAAAAAGAAATGAACAAAGACAAACTAATTCATATCCAGTGATCTTTATTCATTTGATCTGACCAAACTTTATGATCATATAAAGGCTGTGCTTAATATTTAAAATGTACAGATTAAATATTGTCAAAATGTTTCACATTTGACATTTAAATGTGTACAATATTCTCTAAAAGTGTTTTTGTTGTTGTTGTTGTTGTTGTTGTTTTTTGATTAACCACTGGAACATAAGTCTGTGTTTTTGGCATGTTTTATAAATAGAACCTTATAATTCCAAATGAATGATGTGTTTTCAGAATTAGAAGGTTCTGTCTGTGAAAGACTTAGAACACACACTGTCACAAATGTCACAAATGTGATTTTTCAGTTTACACTCTCCTGGGGATGCCCTTTATTCTGTTGTAGTGTAAAGTAAATGTACTGTCTCTTTGATTTCTGCAGTACAAGAGGACACAACTTTAAATGTAAATATGTCAGCAGTGCACAGAGTGCAGGTCGTGCGTTCTAACGAGCTGCATTATCAGAACACTGTAACGAGCTCTGGGCTCATTGAAATTCTATAACTTGAACTGAGCCTTGGCACTTGTTCTGTTTCACACATGGCCCTGGTCATTCCAACACCAACTAGCTGGGGTCAAAGTGACGTCCCAGGTGAAGCGGTGTTAGGTTCCCCGAGGTAAGATGAGACTTTAGAAAAGCACCAGCTCTTTGCTCAAGGCGCACACTAAGCACGCGAAGTGACTGTAATGGCTCAATCAATATCCGATGACACTTGTTTCCACAGGACAGTCACTGGGCTGATTTCATGAGTGGAATTCTCATGGACCTTTAGCATGTACAGGGAAGGACATGACCTGAGGCTGCGTGTGGTCCACACATGAAACAGGTCACTGTTGTGGTGGACACCAGAGAACAGAGCAGTGAGACCACATCTGTCAGTCTGTTGAGACATGTGATGGCACCGCTAATAAAAGACAAACACTGGCTTATGAAATCTAAACATCTGAGGAGCTTCATTAGGTCTTCATGTACATCCCTGTGTTTGTTTCACACCTTGACAGTGTGAGCTGCTTCCTCTTCAGGGTCACATGTTGCTGTGACATGTCTGAGCAGCTAATTTAAACAGATTTTGGTTCTGTCTTCCTACATGGAGCAGCAGGACGACAGTGCCATCTGCAGTCCCACTTCTTCTGAACTGTATCTCAGGTGTGAGAGAGATGGTACACTCCATCATCCCGATTTACAGCCTGGTGAGAAAGTTTCTGGATTTCAGCGGCCTCTTGACAGCTTGTGCATGTTATGAATGTTTCCTTTAAGGAAGCCACAAATGACAAGCCCACCAAGAACATCTCAAGTCCACAACATCAGACCAGTGCAAGAGGGAAAACCATCTCATGGCCTGGGACAACGCTAAGGTCATAAACACAGAGAGCAGCAAGTTCCATCAGGATCAGTGAGGCCATCGTGATCCAGAAACACACCCACTGTCAGTCAGGATGATGGGGTGTACCTGCTCTGACACACCTTGGCTACATCTCTCAAGAAGTGTGTGGGAGAGAGAAAGAGAGAAAGAGAGAGAGATACTTTATTGATCCTAAAGGAAATTTAAGTTTTGCTGCAGAAGAATAGCAGAGAATGTGATAATGTAAACTAAAAGTTAATAAATGTAAGAGAAAAGTGGAGAGATGGTAATTCAGTCATTCAGTGACTTTATTTGTTGCTGAGGGGCAGTTTAAGCTCACTGAGCAGTAAAATACAATAATAATAACTCAAACACAGGTCTCAGTGCAGCTCAACAGGTCGAGCAGTTCTCTGTGGAGCCGGTTGCATGAGGACCAGAGCTCTGCTGTGGTAAGAGCATTTGAAGGCTGCACAGAGAGCACATGTTCACACAATAACTATTCATTTATGAAGAGAAAAGATTTCGGTCACCCCAGTGTCCGGCAAAAATAGAACTCAGCTGAATGAAGCACCAGCACCACCAACACCACCAACACCACCAACACCACCAACACCACCGGACTGCACCGCATGGGTCTGAGCTCCTCTCAATGCTTCAAATTGTACGAAACTACACCCCATGCAGTCTGAGCTTTTTGAACTTCTTAGTTGGTCTAAATATTAAATTTAAAATGTCCATTCCACTGCTCAGTGTGCCAGTCAATCAGCCACAAGAGCAGTCAACCATGACAACCAGAGCTGAGCTCTTCTACTCTCTGAGGAGGGTTTGTGTTTACTCTTGGTCAGAGATGTTCTGTGGTGCCCTGCTCAGGTCTGTGGGGTCAGTGTGATTTTCTTCTGACTCTTTGTTGGCTCACAGTTTCAAAAGCTCAAATCGAACTTCCAACATGATCTTTACAACACAGCAACAGTTAGAGAAGCCCATCCGCACCAGACATCAGTTGCCTAGTGACTGTTGAAAAGACACAAACTTTTTCAGTTCTCATCATCACTGGCATAACTGTAACAGGCTCCTTACCTCCAGCTCACACTGCAGTGAACACACCGCTCCTGTGAGCCTTTTCTAACGAGGATTTAAGCCACACATTTCTGCTTTTTGTTTCATTCTTGCTGTGAATAAGAGCACATTCAAAGACAGATCACAAAAAATGATAAACAAAACTAGAACTCATCATGTAGTTGATGATGGTTTGAGTCATATGTGTTCCATATTGCCAGCAGTATGTAAGTGTATTGTCTGCTTCTGTGTCTCAGGCTCTCAGGACGCCGCCCACGACTTCTCTACTCTCCAAAAACACAAGGTACGTCCCAGTACTGTGCATTGTGATGTCTATTCTCCACAGTCCAATACCAGCCCACAGTCCAAACCCCTTCACAAACACCAAGCCAATTTTTGTGATCATCCAAAGCCAAAATCCTGCCACAGCATCCAGAGAAATCCAGAGCAGCCAACTGAATGAGTGGGTACTGCGCATTTACAGTTAAACTTTTCTGCTTTACTTTTAACACACACTGCAAAAGCAGAAGAGCGTGTGCACGGGGCCACAGAGGGCCGAGCATTTTACAAGAAAGTGGCTTTGTTCATTGATAAATGACATAAGGGACAGAGCAACATTCTGCTCTGTAACAGGTCTGGGATTACACAGAGTGTAGATGGAAGTGGACTAAAGGACTGTGACGTTCTGCTCCAGTCAAATGAAGCTCACCAAGGCCGGCAGCTATAGAGTGAATTTGGAGCCGAGATCCTTGTGAGGAATCAGAATAAATTTACTGAGAAAATAGCAAAATAAAAACACTTGTTTAAGGTCACGACACACAACAAGAGAATTTGCCCGATTTTGGCTTTGATTTGCTTCTCCCCAAGTTCAAGGAGGCATGAGCAGACTGTGTGTCTTCATGTATGGTTCTGAAGCCATTGTGGCCCTCGTGAGTGTGTGCTCCTTGTGTGTATGTGCTCCTCATGTGTGTGTTTGTGCTCCTCGTGTGTGTGCCCCTTGTGTGTGTGTGTATGTGCTCCTCATGTGTGTATGTGCTCCTCTTGTGTGTGCTCCTCGTGTGTGTATGTGCTCCTCGTGTGTGTATGTGCTCCTTGTGTATGTGCTCCTCTTGTGTGTGCCCCTCTTGTGTGTGTGTGTGTGTGCTCCTCGTGTGTGTGTGTGTGTGTGTGTGTGCTCCTCGTGTGTGTGCTCCTCGTGTGTGTGTGTGTGTGTGTGTGTGTGCTCCTCGTGTGTGTGCTCCTCGTGTGTGTGTGTGTGTGTGTGTGCTCCTCGTGTGTGTGTGTGTGTGCTCCTCGTGTGTGTCAGTGTGACTCTGCTCTGTCATTTCATAAACCACAAAACATCAGCAACACTACGGTAAAAAAAAACTGGTACAAACTAGTGAAAAACTGTGAAAATAATGAGAAGACTTTATTCCTCACCTCTGGTAAAGCTGTAAAGTTAAACTCCAGTATCTCCTCCACATAATCCACAGAATTTGCAAATGGCAGAAGTAAAAAGGTGAGAGTAGTTCCTCGTGTGTGTCTGTTTAAGGATCGAGGTGAAGCTGCAGATCAGTGATAGTGACTCTACTTCCTGTGGACTTTATCACCAACCTTCTGTGTGTGAAAAATCATATCTGAAGTTTTGCACCACATTTCACAAATAATAATAACACACTTAACTTGCATCTAAACTAGAAATGCAGAGCTCTGATCTTTTGACCATTTCCTCTACAGCTGACACAAGGTGCACTCACAACTTGATATCCTGTGTTCTGCAGATATGTCCCACTGCAGTGTGTGCAATCAGAGATTTAAAGTCTCATAGGACTCTCCTCATGTCTGTGGTGTGCGCTTTTGCAGGTCTAAAACTCATTTAAGACTAAAAAATCCTGTAGTGTGTGGCAGCTTTTAGATGTGTAGTGACGGAGTGAGACGTGTAGGGTCAGTGTCACACTTTTAGATGTGTAGTTGTGTAGTGAGTGTACTTCCGGCTCCATTGACTCTGGCTTCTAGAGCTCGCTCTGTAACTGCTGCAATGAACCTCGTCATTTTACTCTTTTAAAATGTTTTATTAAACCTCACTACAAGATCTTGGGCTTTTTATTCTGCTATTTTGTCTGTAACTTAAGATATGAAGATTAATAACAGACAAATCAGGTGCCTGAATCGCCAAGGTCGCTCCCATTAACACTAGCAGCAGGTTTGATGATTGATTTGGTGATTGTTCAACCAGTGTTGGGGGTGGAAAGGGGTGTTACCTTCTACAGCCTCAGTCTGGTTTGTCTTTCTGGTTGCTATGATGCTCATGGTCATAATTCTACATATGGAACTCGGCTCCAAAGTCACCGCTATATCTGATAGCCTTGATAAGCTTCATTTGACTGGAGCCAAATGCTATGAGTGACGTCACACTCCCTCAATCCACTTCTTTATACACTCTATGGGCTTTTGTCCTTGCAGGTGTCTCACATCCTGAACGTGGCCTTTGGAGTGGACAATGTCTTCCCTGAGCTCTTCATCTACAAAACGGTCAGCATTCTGGACCAGCCTGACACTCCGCTGATTGGCCACATCCAGGAGTGCTGCGACTTCATCACACAAGCCCGCACCGAGGTCAGAGCACGGAACCCTCCACTGGGAGAGGCTACATCTGAAATATACAGATGTCTCTATTGTCTCTGTTCACACATGCAGCCTGCAGACAGTTTGACAGAACAGAAGCCACAGCTGATTTCACTGCATTTTTGATCTGGCAATTTCCTGGAAAATTGTTAATACCACAATGTTTTTTCTTTTGTTATGAGCTTGGTTATCTTGGTTACGAGTTTAATTTCCTTGGTTATGAGTGTAGTTTCTTTGGTCACGAGTTTAGTTTCTTTGTACTTGGTTTCCAGTTGACAGGATACAGGGAGCGATGATGGAGGGTTCAGTGTTCAGTGTTGCTGCTCTTCACTGACAGGAGGACAGGAGGACAGGAGGACAGGAGGACAGGAGGGCAGGGGGACAGGAGGGCAGGAGGACAGGAGGACAGGAGGGCAGGGGGACAGGAGGACAGGAGGACAGGAGGACAGGAGGGCAGGGGGACAGGAGGACAGGAGGACAGGAGGGCAGGGGGACAGGAGGACAGGAGGACAGGAGGGCAGGGGGACAGGAGGACAGGAGGACAGGAGGACAGGAGGACAGGAGGACAGGAGGACAGGAGGACAGGAGGGCAGGGGGACAGGGGGACAGGAGGATAGGAGGACAGGGGTCAGGGACCGGCCGGAGGAGCATGTTCTGAAGAGAAGGTTTGGGAGCTCAGAGCGACAGGTGCAGACAGGTGTGAGGGTGAGGTGTGGGCCGAGCCAGGGACATGGGACACTACTCTGCATTAATCATGAGCTGAACATGTTTTATACAAGAGGCTCTCAGATCACACTCAGATCTCTCTAACACACACACACTCTCTAACACACACACACACTCTAACACACACACACACTCTCTAACACACACACACACACACACACACTCTAAACACACACACACTCTAACACACACACACTCTCTAACACACACACACACTCTAACACACACACACTCTAACACACACACACACACACACACTCTAACACACACACTCTACACACACACACACACACACTCTAACACACACACACACACACTCACTCTCTAACACACACACACACACACACACACACTCTAACACACACACACACACACACACTCTCTAACACACACACACACATCTCTAACACACACACACACACACTCTAACACACACACACACACACACTCTCTAACACACACACACTCTCTCTCTAACACACACACACACATCTCTAACACACACACACACACACTCTAACACACACACACACACACACTCTCTAACACACACACACACACACACTCTCTAACACACACACACACTCTCTAACACACACACACACACACACACACACACACTCTCTAACACACACACTCTCTCTAACACACACACACACTCTCTAACACACACACACACACACACACTCTCTCTAACACACACACACACTCTCTAACACACACACACACACTCTAACACTCTCTCTCTAACACACACACACACACACACTCTCTCTAACACACACACACTCTCTCTCTCTAACACACACACACACACACACTCTCTAACACACACACACACTCTCTAACACACACACACTCTCTAACACACACACACTCTAACACACACACACACACACACACACTCTCTCTAACACACACACACACTCTCTCTAACACACACACACACACACACACACACACACACACACTCTAACACACACACACACACACACACACTCTAACACACACACACTCTCTCTAACACACACACACACACACACACACACACACACTCTAACACACACACACACTCTCTAACACACACACTCTCTCTAACACACACACACACACTCTCTAACACACACAACACTCTCTAACACACACACACACACACACACTCTAACACACACTCAGATCACGCTCAGATCTCTCTAACACACACACACACTCTCTAACACACACACACACACACACACACACTCTAACACACACACACACACACTCTCTAACACACACACACACTCTCTCTCTAACACACACACACACTCTAACACACACACACACACACACACACACTCTCTAACACACACACACACTCTCTAACACACACACACTCTCTAACACACACACACATCTCTAACACACACACACACACACACACTCTCTAACACACACACACACACACACACACTCTCTAACACACACACACACTCTCTAACACACACACACACACACACACACACACTCTAACACACACACTCTAACACACACACACACACACACTCTCTAACACACACACACACACACACACACACTCTCTAACTCTCTAACACACACACTCACACACACACTCTCTAACACACACACACACACACACTCTAACACACACACACACACACACACACTCTAACACACACACACACACACATCTCTCTAACACACACACACTCTACACTCTCTCACTAACACACACACACACACACACACTCTCTAACACACACACACTCTCTAACACACACACACACTCTAACTAACACACACACACACACACACACACACTCTCTAACACACACACACTCTCTCACACACACACACTCTCTAACACACACACACTCTCTAACACACACACACACACACACACTCTCTAACACACACACACACACACACACACACTCTAACACACACACACTCTCTCTAACACACATACACACACACTCTAACACACACACACACACACACACTCTCTCTAACACACACACACACACTCTGTAACACACACTCTCTAACACACACACACACACACACAGTCTAACACACACACACACACACATTCTCTAACACACACACACTCTAACACACACACACACACTCTCTAACACACACACACTCTCTAACACACACACACACACACACTCTAACACACACACACACTCTAACACACACACACACTCACACACACTTCCTAACATACACACACACTCTCTAACACACACACACACACTCTCTAACACACACACACTCTAACACACACACACTCTCTAACACACACACACACACTCTCTAACACACACAACTCACACTAACACACACACACACAGACACTTTCTAACACACACACACACACACTCTCTAACACACACACACTCTCCCTAACATACACACACTCTCTAACACACACACACTCTCTCTAACACACACGCACACTCTCCCTAACATACACACACTCTCTAACACACACACACTCTCCCTAACACACACACACTCTCTCTAACACACACACACTCTCTCTAACACACACACACTCTCTAACACACACATACACACACACTCTCTCTAACACACACACACTCTCCCTAACATACACGCACTCTCTAACACACACATACACACACACTCTCTCTAACACACACACTCTAACACACACACGCGGACACACACATACACACACACACTCTCTCTCTAACACACACACATGGACACACACACACACACACACTCTCTAACACACACTCTCTCTAACATACACACACGGACACACACACACACACACACTCTCTAACACACACACATGGACACACACACACACACACACACTCTCTAACACACACTCTCTCTAACATACACACACATACACACACACACACACACACACTCTAACACACACACGGACACACATATACACACACATACACACACATACACACTCTAACACACACACTGGGGCTTTGAGGGCAACATCAGTGTAACTGTGAGACCTGATCAGTGACATCATTCTATTACAGTTACATGACATGTTATTTGTTGATGCATGTATGTGTACTTGTGATACATGTCCACTCATTTCTGTGTATTTTCATTTAACTCAGAGGGTCATAATGTTGTGTACGACTCAAGTGAGCATCCTTATGTTTGTATGTTCAAACACACTGAGCATGTGTGACTCTCTCCAGATGTAACACACCTCATCCCTGTGTGTGATGAATAGTTGGTTTTACATTTTGCTCTTGTGTGTTTCAGAAAGGCGTGGTGCTGGTTCACTGTAACACCGGCGTGTCCCGGGCTCCGGCGGTCGTCATTGGTTACCTGATGTCATGTGACGGCATGTCCTTTGAAGACGCATTGTCTTTGGTTCGAACAGCTCGTCCTAACTCCGCCCCCAACCCCGGCTTCATGGAGCAGCTGCAGAAGTACCAGAGTCCTGCAGTGAATGGAGGCCTCCACTAGACTCCGACAGGGGGCGCTGTGCACACACAGACTTCCCTTCCTCTCATTAAAGCAGACTTATTGTGTTTGAGTGTTCTCTACAGTTCTAATCTACGACACACATGGAGCATTATGTTCTAATGGGGACATTTGAAATCACAATATTAATCTAAAATGATTTCATGAGACAAATAAGTCCGACTTCTGTGTTACAAACCTGTGGCGCCCACAAGCTTCTCTAAACAGGAGTCACTTCAGCTGCTCTTTAAAACAGTCCACAGAGTGAGCCACAGCAGGTTCTGACTGCAGGAGCCGAGGGAGGTCCAGAGGAGAAGGGGGTTCAAAGGTCCAGGATGTACCAGGGGCCTGCCTGTGGACCGCTCTAAAAGTAATCTCTACTATTTTAAAATCAATCCTGAACTTTACAAAAGCTGGTAGAGAGGATGAAAGATCTGGTGTTCCTAAACGCCTGGCACCAGAGTTTGCCACAGTTGAGTTTTCTCAAATATGTGTGAATGAAACAACACACAATTCCAGGTGTGTTTTTGAGGAAGTAGCAGTATTATAACTTGGCTTCAAATTCACAGTCAATTTTGTGTAATATAATGTAGGACTCATAAGCCTCTGACCTGTTCTACAAACTGGACTTTTTAGTAGTCAATGAAAAGTCCAGGTCGATGAGTAGTTTCTTCTTTTTGACCCTCTGAAGTTGTCCTTGGAGTGATTTAAACATGTTTGTGTCGTGTGCAGTCGCTTCTGTTCAAGACACTATTTTGCAGATATACCTGTTTCACCTCCACCGGTTTCTTTATGAAGTCATTTTAGATGAATGTTGTGATTTAAATTGTCCAAATGAGAACATACTGATCCACAGACGTCAGACATAGAACTATAGAACACACACAAGCAGGATCTGTGTGCTTTACAGTCCATCCACTTGAGCAGAGCTGTGACCACATGGCTCCTGTTTGGCTCTTTACTCCCAGGTCCCAGTTGGAGCTTGGTGTTAACAGTGTCTCCCTGTGCTGCGGTCTAGCTCCCCCTGCTGCTGTGTTTATGAACACTTTTCATTTACACAACAGGAACAACAAGAAGAGTAACATTATTTCAAAATCATTTTACTCAAGTAGTGGTCCATGTAAGTAAGAGTAAAAACATATTTAGGAAAAGTACCACTCAAGTAACAGCAACTTAAAGAGTAACTCTTCAGATGCAGCATCCGATTTAGAATTAGAAGTGAATGTAATGTGAATGAAAAAACATGAACTAATGCACAAAATCTACTATTTTCAAATGACACAAAAACAAACTAAATCTTCTCTGAAGGAGCTGGAAGAAACACAAATGTTCAAATCATTTCAGATTGTCACATAAAGACTGTGTCACTTTAGACTCACTCACAGTGGGAAGAGGAAGCACAACCTTTACTCAAGTAAGAGTACTTCAATACATATTACTACAATACAATATTACTCAAGTAAGATTAAAAGTATGTTGCTAGAAAATGTCTGTAAAAAGTGTGCTTTTAGTCGGAGCTCATTCTGCCCAAGAAACAAGCACCAAATCTGAACATGACACATCTGACACTGTTAAATGTTTTTGTAATAAATCCATGTTACTACTCTGTGTGTGTGTGTGTGTGTGTGTGTGTGTGTGTGTGTGTGGGTGTGTGGGTGTGTGGTGTGTGTGTGGGTGTGTGTGTGTGTGTGTGTGTGGTGTGTGGTGTGTGTGGGTGTGTGGGTGTGTGGGTGTGGGTGTGTGTGTGTGTGTGTGTGTGTGTGTGTGTGTGTGTGGTGTGTGTGTGTGTGTGTGTGTGTGTGTGTGTGTGTGTGTGTGTGTGTGTGTGTGTGTGTGTGTGTGTGTGTGTGTGTGTGTGTGTGTGTGTGTGTGTGTGTGTGTGTGTGTTGTGTGTGTGTGTGTGTGTGTGTGTGTGTGTGTGTGTGTGTGTGTGTGGGTGTGTGGTGTGGGTGTGGGTGTGGGTGTGTGTGTGTGTGTGTGTGTTGTGGGTGGGTGTGTGGGTGGGTGTGTGTGTGTTTGTGTGTGTTTGTGTGTGTGTGTGTATGTGTGTGTTTGTGTGTGTGTGTATGTGTGTGTATGTGTGTACTTTATACCAAGAACACTGTCCAACTGTTTATGAAATACAAACACTACACACACTGGTGGATTACACACTACACAGACAATAGACAAAAATCACAGTCACACAACACGACATTTGCTGTGTGATGTTCAAACACACACGAGTCCATGTTCTGTTCACATGTCGGATTATCCAGAGACACTTTCACACATTTTATTTGTATTTATGTATTCATATATTTGATTGGGACGGAGTTACTGGACAAACATGACACAACATGAGTGTGAACACACTGGACTGACGCTTGAGGCTCATTTACATCTGTGTCCCAAAGGGCTGAGGTCACAGGGGTCACTGGGGTCACACAGGTCACAGAGGTCAAAGAGGTCACACAGGTCACAGGGGTCACACAGGTCACAGGGGTCACAGGGGTCACAGGGGCAAACAATAAAATATTGCACACTTCCACTCACTGCACATTATTTTGCAGTCACTTTGGCCACACATTCAAATGTGCATTTATAGAAGATCAATGAAGAATGTTTTAAAGATGTTCTGCAGCTCTGGATGGAGGTCAGGTTCTCAGGTCTGTGGAGACCATAGTCCAGGACAAGATTCCAGGAGCACAGTGTGAAAAGGCCCAGTGTCCTAATGAAGACTTTATAAATGGGCTTTCACAGTCTCCTCCGCACCGTGCTCCCGTGTTTCTGTTTCAATGTAAGTGCATAAACTCTTTGAACAGGCTTTTATAGATCAGATTGAGGAAAAGAAGTTTTCCCAATAAAATTTTTTATCTTTGCTCAGGATTTGACAGTGATGATTCACATTTGATTTTTGATCTAGTGTTTTCAGAGTCTGCTTATAGAGCCTTTCTACAGACACCTCTCCTCCTGTCTCTCCTCTCCTCCTGTCTGCTCTCTCCTCTCCTCCTTTCTCTAATCTCCTCCTTCCTCTCCTCTCCTCCTGTCTCCTCTGCTCCTGTCTCCTCTCTCCTCTGCTCTTGTCTCCTCTGCTCCTGTCTCCTTTTTCCTCTCCTCCTGTCTCCTCTCTCCTCTGCTCCTGTTTCCTTTTTCCTCTCCTCCTGTCTCCTCTCTCCTCTGCTCCTGTCTCCTCTCCTCTTCTTTGTCTCAAAAATGAAGCTGGAGTTAGAAAACAAATGGAAAATAAAAAGAAGAGGATTGAAACACATTTTGCTGTGATCAAGACTAAGTGGTGAGCCTTAAAATCTTATTAAAAATCTAAACCTTCTCAGAAACGCATGTCCACCAACTTGAACGTAATGCTGCTGCTCATGCTGCTCCTGGCTTCTTCATAGGTTGATCCTTCAAGGAGCTTTTGACTCTTTGTTCATGTTCATGTGAGCACTGCTCCTGAGTCTGTCACTGTTGTGTGTGAGCCAGTGGAGGTCAGAATTATCATTATGAAACCTCCAAATGCTGAAGTCTGAACACCAGAGACCTTCAGCTGCCCCCCTACAGGAGGACACCTGGAGAGGGGTGGAGGTCCTAGTGAGTGTTCTACACAAACAGCTGGAGGCTCAGAGAGCAGGTGGATCTGCTGTGAACAAACTTGTACAAACAGACACTTCTGAACAGACTGCTGAGTGCAGTCTGAGACCTTTCCTTTTATGGGAAAAGTGTGAGCAGAAAGTGAACTTGAAAAGGTCGTTTCTCATGTAAATGTTCAAACTTAAATGGTGGAAAAGTGTGCAGAAATGATGGATGCTTAGAGCTATTTGGAAAAATGAATGTTGCATTTGGCTCCATCTGGTACAGTTTGGTAATCGCTGTGCTTCTGCACACCAAAATATACTTTCTCTCCACGAGGCGGCGCTGTGGGCTTTATGTTCAGTGCCTGTCAGCCTTTAAAGGGGCCAAAAAAGACAGCACAGGTGCTGCTCGGTTTACATACTGGTGGGGCTCCGTCTGAAAATGGACAAAAATACCTCCTTCCTTCTCCTTCTCCCTCTGCTGACCTCACGTCATGAGGCTTTAGGTGAATCTGGATCCTCCAAACCAGCAGCAGGAACTACAGTCAAAACTACAACTCCCAGAAACAAAAAAAACACATCATCTCCACTACTGAGCAAGTCTCATGAAAATGATTTACATCTTTCAATGTTTTCATCACAGGGGAGCGACATAAATAAAGTGACTGTACATGAGTGAAATGACTGTTAAAGAAAAACCTTCACACGTATGACCCTCACACGTACAATCTCTTAAAAGTTTAACATGAACCACAATGGATGAACACACTCACCATCAGCAGCACATCCTCTGTCACAGAGAGAACACTCATATTGAGTCGTGTCCTTCAGTCAGACAGAAGCTGAACCATATCAGCGCACAAGGAGCGTGTTGTAAATGTACTTTACATCTTGTAAAGTTCAGTTTAATTCTGCAGAAGATTTGAATGAATAATCTATAGCAGTGTATGATGAGTGTTGATTGGTGCAATGCATTGTGGGATACATCAGCTCCACACGCGGCTCAGGTTCTTATGCTAAAAGAGCTATGAAAGGAGGCATAATGTCTCCTTTCCTCACTCCTTCCTAACCTCTCTGATCAATTTGGAATGTCCTTGACATTGTCTGCTCACCCACTGCACAACAACAACTAACCCTTATGTAACAGATAATACTCCCTACAACTGTCCTGTCAATCATCATGTCATTGTTGCTCTGTCGTCTTTATGAGCTCTTGTATAAAGATGAGTTTTTATATTTTATTACTTATTTTTCAGTTTATTGTACATTAACATAATTATGTCTTTTTGACACGTGTCTCTTGCTCTTTTTTTTTGCTATTTATTTAGAATTTATGATCATCATTTCTATTTTTTGCTCGTTGTTTTACATTATTTTGTGATGTGTGAGTCCTGTGTTCAGATCAGTTCCTCTTATGGATCAGTAAAGTTTGTCTAAATCTAAAAGGTGATTTTGCCTCGAGTGTTTAATCAATCAAACTTTTTATGAAGCGCTTTATGACAACAGGTTTTATCCACCAAAGTCCAAATAAGAGAATCATGAGACTGTGTCGTCCGCAGTTGCGGTGTGCAGGTGCGGGGCCCGCCGCGGCCTGCAGGGGGCAGTGTCAGGATGACATCAGTGCAGCTTGTGTCTCTGTGAGGCTAAAGTTGGGTTTGATTCCAGAGGCAGAATTCCATCACTCTTAGCAACATGTTTCCACGGAAACACTCCTCCATCTCTGCATCCGGCTCCGCTCCTCTGCAGCGTTTCCACGGCGATGCTTTGGGATGTCCGCCTCTCACCAGAGACCCCAGCACCTACCCCCTCCCCAAAGCCAGCACCCACCCCTCTGCAGCCAGCCCTGCACTGTCCAATCAGCATCCCCTTCCCCCTGTCAGTCTGACAGGAGACACCTGCCATTTTCAAAGTTACTGTCCTGTAGAAACCTCCGGTCCGGCTCCAGGGGGCGACTCAAACATGTGCATTTCCAAAATCAAAGCGCTCTTCTCATATTGTACCTTTAGTCATTTTTGTATTTTCAACATTGAACTGCTTAAAAAGCTTAAAAAGCTTTAAAAGCTTAAACTGCTTTTTATTCAACGTCTTGAGAGAGATGAGGAAACCACGAGGAGAGAGAGAGAGAGAACGGGCGGGAAAGAGCGGAGAGGCGCGCGGTGCCAGGATGGAGAGGAGGAGGAGAAAAGTCAGAGCCAAGTCCTCCCTCCAGGACGCATGAATATGGATGAGGAGAGAGGCAGGGAAAGTGCGGCGACAACGGGCGACAACAAACTCGAGCAGGGATGTAAAGTTTCCCCAGACACGGGCGAGCGGTCCGGAGCAGCGGAGCTCATGGACGACAGCGGAGAAGCGCGAGGGCAGCCCGCGGGAGAGCGCGCACATGCCCCGGGAGCAGCGGCGGACCTGCGCGTGGAGGAGGGGGGAGAAGCGCTGAATACTGATGACTCTGAAGGAGACTTTGGAATACACCAGCACACAGCCCGCGCGCACGAGGACGCGCACGGCTCGGAAACGCGCGCACCGCACTCAGAAAATGCGATGAGCGCCGCTGGAGAGGTGGACAGCGGCGGAGAGACAGAGCAGACAGAGAGAGAGAGAGAGCAGCGCGCCTCGGAGCAGGGGCTAAACGGGGGCGCATCCTCAGCGGAGCAGGAGCACGGAGCGGAGCACGGAGCGGAGCAGCGGGCGGACATGAGAGAGACAGCGGCACCGCGGCACACGGCGGAGGGGCGGCTGGAGCGCCAGAGCACCGAGGACATAGTGGACCTGCCCGCACACGTCCTGCACCGGCTGCGAGGAATGTGAGTGTCCACGGGACTGATGTATGATGCACGCGTGTGTG